ACAATTTTGAGGCAGGGTTTTACTAAGCCACTAAACGGCCCAGACTGGGCTTGAACTTGTGGTCAATCCTCCCGCCTCAGCCATGCCGGGATTACAGACATGTGCTGTCACATCTGGCTCAGGATTCTTTCTTATATGGAAAAATAATCAAATTATGAGTTTAAAACATTTTCAAAAAAAAAAAAGCAAAACCAAAAAACACCTCTTTGAGCTACCAGACATGGAGCTCCACTTACAGCCCCGAGTTGCCTGTTATGCTGATGTACTTTTTTTTTGGTTTTTTGAGACAGGGTCTCATCATGTAATTCAGGCTGGTCTTGAATTCACTATGTAGCCCAGGCTGGCCTTGAACTTGCAGCAATCCTCTTGTCTCAGGCTCCTGAGTGCTGGGATTCCAGGTGTGTGCCACCTTGCTCAGCTGATAAACATTATTGTAATTACTATGAAATGTTTTTATTTTATTTCCTATTTTCCTTACTTATTTAATACCAATTTGCTAATTAACCCAATGTTTTAATAATGGGCACCTAGATTATTTCCAGCCCCCCCCCCGAATCCCCAGACCTGTTGTGGACTAAATCCCCCCCAGCCCCCATGCCTATGCTTCGGAAGCCCTGACTGTCAGTGTGACTGGAGGTGGGGACTTTGGGAGCTGAGCAGTTCAGATGAGGCCATGACCCTGGAGCCCTGAGATGGGATTAGTGCCCTTAAGGGAGGAAGAAGGGACCCTGGAGCATTCCCTCTGCTGCTGTGAAGGACACAGCAAGGTGGTGAGTTCAAGCCAAGAAGAGCCCTCACCCCAAACTGGACCTGCTGACGCCTTGATCCTGGATTTCCCAGCCTCCACCAACGTGAGAAACAATTGCTCGTCCTGCCAGTCTATGGGCTTGTGTTATGTCAGCCCGAGACGACCGCACAGAGGGTCCCAAAGTGACAGGAGCAACTATCAGACACCTACATGTCACTCTGCTCCCTGCTGGTGAGGAGAGAATTCGGGGCAAGAGAGAATTTGGGACAGTGTCAAGGAACAAAGGTCAGGACAGGTGATGGAAGGGGTTCACCTGCCCTCCAATGATCCTGGGGGCTGTGCAGCGTCCAGAGGGTACCCAGTGGCCATAAGGTGGGTGAAGACACAGGGCAACTTCACAGGGGTGATAGGGCTGAGCTGCAGGAGCCAGCCAGACAGATGAAGGCTGTTTAGCCACCAGACCAAAACCATGCCCTGCCTGAGAAATTCCCTACTGTGTTTCTTTTTCCCAATGTTGTACTGTGTTTGTATCCTGAAAAATCCCAAAGCTGCAGAGAAGGTGAAAGCATATACAACGAACACTCACACACCCTTTGCCTGGACCCGCCGGCCCCACGGTCTTCCCTCTCTCCACATTCGCCTGGGCTTTGGGCCATGATCCGCATCATGAAATGTCAGCCCTAAATATTTCAACATGCTTCTTCCCGGGGACAATGACATTTTTCTTTATAACCACGATGCCAGCATCACACTCAAGCAGTTCAGCATTGGCCCAATAAAATTATGTAACACACCATTCATTTAAAAAATGTCTCAGGGCTAGGGATGTAGTGCAGTGGGGGAGCAAGGCCCTGGATTTGATGTCTGGCCCCTCAAAAAGTTTCAGTCTCAGAGCTCCCCACTCTCGCTCTGGATCCAGAATCCAGTCACCGATCAAGGATTAGGACTGCATTCATTTCTCACTGTGCTTTAGTCTCCTGTAATCTAGAAGTCTCTTAACTCGGGACATCAGATGTGACATCAGCCAGCTGCCCCGTAGAAAGTCCCTACTCCAGGGTTCAGGGTGTAGCACTTGCCTAGCACAAGCTAGGTCCTGGGTTCAATCCCTAGAACAAGTAATCCTTACTCTGTTTTGTTTTTGAAATGGGGTCTTGCCATATCGCTGGGGCTGGCCTTGAACTCCTGAGTCAAGCAATCCTCCTGCCTCAGCCTTCCAGGTAGCTAGGACTGCAGTAGGTAACATCATTGCAGTTCCTGCTCTGGTTTGGGCTAGGACCCAGTGCGAAGGGCTCTGAGTTCTGGCACAGACCAGTCTAGTCTGGACCATTCAACTCCAGTATCCCTAGAATGATCCTCAACCCTCTGGCCATTGACCACAGCTGGGGAATCCTAGGATGCAGATACAGCCTCACCCGAATCCTTCCTTTTATTAGGGAATGCAGAACCCAATCTACACATTAGCATCAAGGAAGAGCAGCTCCCAGCCTTGGGAGGGACGAGCGCTTGTCCTTGACTTTGCTGGCTCACTGTTGTTTGTGGAAGCAGAGTGTGCTGTGGCGCTTCCTGCACTGCCCGCCTCACACTAATGCCTGTGAGGGGAATGGAAAGCGGTTCTAATAACCCAATCCTGCCCTCTACTCTGACTTCCGGCCCGGCTGGCCTGCACTGAGGGGAGCACTGGGGAGCGGAGAGGCCTTCCCCGCTGCTGGCCGAACAGTGCAGGCCTGGGGCCCCTAACAGGCCACCTCCGGGCCTAGGAGGTGGAGGGTCCCGCCCTCAGGGATGCTGCCCCAGGGACCCACTGCAGCAGCTGCCAGCAGCTGCCTGGGGCTCCAGATCCTCCTCAATAATCAGCTTTGTGAGTCAGAGGCAGCAGCTGCCCCAGACTGCCCAGGCCTCGCTGGGAAAGCCGAGGATTGGATTAGATGGGACTGGTTAATGGAAAATGAAGAGGGAGGGAGAAGGGAGTTAAGCGCCACGCTCTCTCTCTCTGTGGGCAGCGACTTCCGGGCTAATGGTAGGTGGGTGCTCACCTCCTCCAGCCTTCCCCGGGCTGCTGACCTTCAGTTCACTTAGGGAGAGCAAAGGTGGCTAGCTCAAGGCATCACCTTTAGCTTCCCACCCAGCCTGTTATTTTCCTCAAAGAGGCCTTCTTCCGGCCTGCCCTCCAAGCTTAGGCAACGTGAGCATCAGAGGAAAGCACTGGAAACTCTTGGAAATTCCCAAGTCTATTTCAAGACCATTTCTAGCCAGCTGGTTCTTCTGTTAGTTCCACCACTGGGTCAGCTGGAGAGGACACGGATATCTGTGTCCCTGACCCAGGGCCTTATGCACAGGCCAGCTCAGAAAGGGAGCGGGAGATGGGAGCAAATGCCTGTAATTCTGAAACTCTGAGAGGCTGAGGGAGGAGGGACACAAATTTAATCCTGACCATAGCAATTTAGGGAGACCCTGTTTCAAAAAAGTAAAGGGTGGCTAGGGATGTAGTTCAGTTCAAAATCCTGGGTTAAATCCTGCCCCCCCCCCCGCAATGGTGGGGACCTGAGCCTCCAAGGGAGGAAACTGACTTATGAATTCTCTTGCTGCGTGGGTTCTCTTAGGACAGCCAGCACCAGGACCTGAACTCCTTTTATTTTCCCTGTCCTTCAAAGCACCCACATTCTTTAGAGAATGTGCATCTACCTGGATGGGATGGGGGCATCCTATTTCAACACCAACCATTGCATCTAGTGCATTAGAAGTTACACAGGCTCAGAGCCCAAAAGCCTTACAGAGAAGTGCTGTGCCCCAGAGGCTCAGGATGTGACAGCAGGCCACTAAACACCATCCTGGTTTTCAGTCGGAAACTCATTGCTGGGGGATAAAGGATCAAGGCATAATCAGGGCTGATGGAGAGCCAGCAGTGGCCTGAGATTAGTACAGATGCCTTCTCCTGTGCCCTGGAGCCCACAAGTGAGGCCAGAACCCCAAACACAGGAGCAAAGGGAACATCTCAGCGCATGTCCAAACCCCTCCCCCAGCCAGGATGGCAGGGCCACTCCCTCCTCTCCGGGATGCACACAACTGCCCCCCTCGGGCTGGGTAGGAGCCACTCTAATGACACAATTAGTCACCCACTTGTCAAGCAAAAAGCTTGCTCAGAAGGGGTCTGGCATAAAGAAAAACGCCACTGAGCCCAGTCTCCCCTCCCGACTTCCATCCAGTGTTAACCATTGTGTCCAGCAAAGGACAGAGTGGGCATCCTCGGCCACCCTGACACCGTCCATGCTGCCCTCCTCACTAAGCAAAGGCACCCAGGGACAGGACAAGGTGCTACAATCTGATTAGGGGGCCGGGGATTTATTTAGCTTAGTGGTTCCGGCGCCTGCCTCACAAGCGCAAGGTCCTGAGTTCGATCCCCGGTACCAAAAAAAAAAAAAAGAAAGAAAGAAAAAATCTGACTGGAGACCCGAGGTGGTGGCCTGAGCTAGCCAAGGGGTGCAATGCTGGGATGGTGGGCCAGGGGCTTTTCGGTCTGAAGAGATTCCTGTGACAGCACTGGGCCGGATGGGAGTGGGCAAGGGACGTCCTGAAGTAAGTCGGGGCCTAGGTGGGAGCCAACGCCAGAGTGGCCCGGGGCAGAGGTGGGGAAGGCCGGCCTGGAGGTGTCCGGAGCTCCGAGGGTGTGTGTGTGTGGGACATGCCAAGGCCCACTTGCAGCTGGAAAAGGACAATAAAAATGACTGCAATGGTCTCGTCCGGTCCTATGGGCCTCACGAAACACCACATCGACTCTGGAATATGGATTTCAAGTTGGCCTAAAAAAGAGGCAGCTTTCCTTCCCCTCACCTCCTCAAAGTACTCTATTTCCAACATCCAGACAACTCCTACTGCGGGTCTCGAAAGAAGCCACGTGCATGTGGATTTTGGAACCGGTGGGCGCCAGAGGCAGGAGGAGGGAGCGGAGCAAAATTCCAGGCGGTCGGAGGCCGGAGCGGCGCAGCTCTGGGACTCGACCCGACCCGACCCGACCCCTCCGGGGTAGCTCCTGGCGCCCAGGGGCGGAGGAGGGAGGAAGGAAACAAGCCAACTCCAGCCCACCCTCCCCCGGCTGCACTTTCTGGGGGAGGATGGAGTCTGAGGGCTGAGACTTTGCACGCCCGGACTCTCCCTTCCCTTCCCGGGGGTGGTCAGGCCGGGAGGCTCGCGGGGGCCTAGGCCAGCGGGGACACCAGGGGCGCGGGCGCCCAGGGAGGGAAGGCCCCGTGCGTACCTTCTTGGCCTCGGCCATCAGATCCTCCGCCTGTGCCGGCGCCGCCGCGGGCTCCCCGGGCTCCTCCGGGCCCTCGGGTTCTCCGGGTCCCGCGGGCTCCGGGGCGCAGGGGCTGGGCGGCGTGGGGGTCCCGGTGGTCTCGGCCGGTGGAGCGGGCTTTGGGGCCGCCCCGCGTCGCAGCAGCAGCCAGGCGAGCAGCAGCGCTAGCACCGTGAACAGCGCGGGGAGCGTGGCCAGCAGCTCGGCTGGCACCTCCATCGCGCCACGGCCGCCTAGTGCAGACCGCTTTCCCAGACCCGAGGGAGCCCGCCGCACCCGGCCGCCAGGTCCCGCCCCAAGGCGGAGCCTCCTTCCCGCCCCCGCCCCGTGGGCGGGACTTAGGTGCTGGGGACCCTCACCCTCGGGGGGCGCTGGAGCGCCAGCCTAGGCCTGGCTGGGAAGCCTGATGCTTTGGGGGAACGATTTAATCTGATTATCTGAGCTCAGGCTCGGTTTGCACCACTGAGAGATTCTCGCTTCTCAGGTGCCCCTTCGAGTATCATCTCCTGGTATCACTTCGGCCCCCCCGAACAGAACCCCACCTTGGAGCCGTCTGCAAATACAGGTGCGAGCTGGGGAAGGGGTGAGGCGGGAAGCTTCACTAACCCAGAAAGGGTCCTGGAAATTGCGGCCCTGACTGCTCTGTGAGACAACCAATAACAATCGCGAAGCCTCGCTGCTTTCCGCCCTGTGTTTAGGGGCGGGTCAACTGCCTGTGTTCCTGAGCACTGATCTAATACGCTTCCACTTCTCAGATGGAGGTGGCACTGCGTCCTTCCTGGGCGAAGCCAGCAGCCTTCAACACAGGCCCTACTGAGACAAGGCTGCCTCTGAAAGGCTGGAATTCAGGGCCAGGTCCTGGGGGTCAACACTGTTTTCCCTGCTGGCTTTCTCTGCACACTTCTGGAATGTATTCGGGGTGGGAATGCAGAATGAGGGACAGGAAGGCTACTGCTTTTCTCCAAATCCTTCCAGAGCTCTGCTGCTGAACAGTGTATGTTAGTGACAAATATGCTGTAATCAAAAACATGCTTCCCTACCATTCATCACCCCACAAAAACACTGGGCAGGTCGTCAGGTACCATGCCCAACACAGGGCCTCATGTCCAAAGCAGGGTGGCTGAGCAAGATGGCACACACCTGTAGTCCCAGCTGCTAGAAGGCTGAGGCAGGAGGGTCCCTTGAGCCCAGAGGTTTGAGTTGAACCTGGGCAACACAGCCAGACATTGTCTCAAATCAAAGAAAAAAAGCAGAAGCAAGGTTCCAGTTTTCCAATTTTTGCTTAGCATGCATCTAATACTTTCTTGGGATGTAAACTGCGATGCTAGATGGGGTGCTTCTTTTAAAACACAAGAGCCAGGTGGACCCCTGGCTGCTACATGAGCTCTGGTTATGAAACAGAAGAGCTTTATCCTGCTGCAACTCATGTTTGCAGGGAGATGCCTTTACTTTTAGTGGTTGATGAAAAAGGTGTGATGTTTAGTGGTGCAATCTCAGCACTTGGGAGGCTGAGGCAGGAGGATTGCTGTGAGCTCCAGGCCAGTGAAGCTACACAGTGAGTTCAAGCCTAGAGCAGGCGGTGACAGACCCGTCTCAAAACAAAGAAGAAAAAGGTGGAATGGGCTTTGTCTCTAGACTGCTGCTGGCTTTTGACCACTGTTGGAATTCTGGACAAATGCTGGTTTAAAGTGTATTTTTAAGAGGTCTTGTTCTGCTGACAAACGTTCTATTGATTTTTAAATGAGTAAGAGTGAAAAGAAAAGACACAACAATGCAGAAAACACAACCCCAAATCCAGTTGCTTTATTTAAAATGAACAAGTTTCATCTAAGTGAAAGTTAAAAAACACCGACCCAATGGCAGACCCCATGGGCGTTCCATAGCAGACGCTACAGCATGGGGAACACAGAACCGAGACTGCTCAGGGTTCTGTTTGACAACTGCAGGAGCCCAGCTCTGTGGGGTCTGGCAAGGTCACCGCGGAGACAGGCAGGCAAGGGCTGGTTTCCTCGGAAGATGGGGGGCTTGGTGACTCCAATTTCTGATCTAACAATGAGACAAATTGAGAGGTACCACCTACGGGCCTATACTCTTCTAGTTTTGCTGAAAACAGCGTGACAACAACAGGACATCTTGACAAAAGCTAGGAAAGAGAAGCTAGACTCCGCTGAACCTGTCAGGAGTGTCAGCACACACATCACAGCCGCTTCTCTGGGAAAAGCTACACACAACTACGGCACCTACAGCTGTGTGTTCACATGCGTGCCCTAGACAGCACCTCTACAACACTGACTGACTCACTCCATCCCGTTCTCGTGCCTACAGTCCTAAGTTCAGGGCTGGGTTCTGGACTTGTGAGGCTTATCGGCAATTTGCTGTGAGCTTTCTTAAATTTCCAGTTACTCTACAAAGAAACAGTGTCCGGATCCAGCACATGGTGTATGGTTGGCCATGCCCCTTCATGAAGAGCTGGTCCACTTGTTTAGGGAGGGTGGCACTTGCTTTTCTGGCTGCGGAAGCGCACACACTCTTGTCTCCTACTCTTATGAACAGCAGCAGCTATTGCCGAGCAAGCTCCTCAAGGTCAGGGACCCTGGCTTGTCCCTGCTGTACCTCTGGCACCAAGAGCAGTCCAGGTACTCCAACTTTTTTTTTTTCTGAGACAGGGTCTTGCTATGTAGTTCGGCTGGCAGGCCTTGAATTCACTATGTAGCCCAGGCTGGCCTCAAACTCCTGCAATCTTCCTGCCTCAGCTTCCCGAGTGCTGGGATTATAGGTGTGTGCCACCATGGCTGGCAGTAGAACTTTTGCTGGGTGCTTAAATTACTAAGCAGTGGGCAATGCAAGAATAAAATGTGACTGTGAGTGGTGTCCCTGCTTTGGCGGCTCTTCCCTCAGGAGCCTCACCCTCAGCATCCCAGGACCACTGACAACTCCAGGGCCACCTATGCAGCTGCACTGGACTCTCCTGGGGTGACGGGGACCAAATTCCCAAAGGCCCAGTGCCCTGGGTCCTACTCAGGTCGCTCCTCCCCATCCTTCCAATATTCCTTTTTCCAAGATACAGCTCTTTGGGTTTAAGATCAGTAGCCATCCTGGAGAATAATCCCCAGAAATGGTCTTGAATTGCATCCTTCTCTTTCTTCCTGCTGACTCGATTCAAAGGAGGAGCACAGGCCAGGTGGGAGGGAAGAGTGGAGTCCTGAACACCTGGTGCTCAGGCTCCCCCACCTCACTCTGCTTCCACAGTGGACTGCTGAATCCTTGGCCTGGCACCCCACAATTATTCATGGGGTGGCAAGAGCATCACATAATCTGTGCTGTCCAGCACTGTCAGGAGAGAGGACTGTGGCCAGGTCCCTTGTTTCTGCTGGTGTCTAGCAACCAGGAATCACCTCCAGCATTTGAAGAAATGGGGAGCTGAGCTTTCAGTTTCAAATTTCTGCTCCATCAGAGGCCACTGGCAATACGTCCCACTGCACCCTCTGGTGGCAGAGAGCCCTTCTTTTGGCTGAAGTTTAGGGGGAAGCGAGATAGCAACAAGGGGAGGGGGGAAATGTGAAGATGACAAGAAAAGTCTTTTTAAAAGCTGCAGGAGTAGCTGGGCAAGGTAGTGCAGGGCTCTAATCCCAGCTACTGCAGAGGTGGAGGCAAGTTCGAGGCCAGCCTGGGCAATGTGGTGAGTTCTTATCTTAAAAGAGCTGGGGATGTAGCCCAGTGGTACAGCACTTGTCTGGCACACAGGAGGCTGAGTCCCATCCCCAGTATTGAAAGGGGGAAAAAAACCCCAAAAAACAAAAACACAAAAACACAAGGAGGAGGAACATCTTTCAGTATTACTAGAGCACTTCAACTCTCAGGATTTGACTCGACTCAGAGACAAGCATATCCCGGCCCATCAGGGACCAGGGGGAGCTGCCTTCTCTCCTTCACTCCGGCAGGGAGTGGCAGCCTCTGCAGGAGAGGATTCTCCCACCTAGGCACACAGTGGGGCTGGGGTTTCAGGATACAGAAAGCTGAACTGAGAGAAAACAGGACCAGCCTCCTAAAGCAAAGGTACACGACCCAGAGTCAGGAAATGATAAAACCTGTTTTCCTTGAATTTAGGGGCAGATTAAGGCAAGCAGGTGATTCTAGAGGGCGAGACAGGGAACCTGCTGGTCAGTCTCCAAGTTTTCCACCAGAGCTCTGCAAAAGCACCCACAGATCCTAAAGACTAGAAGCACCATCCCTGTCTCTCTCCTGTGTGGAACACAAGCTGCCTGCTTGATGTCCGTAGGCCAAACAAATGGGGGACACAGTGATGAAGTCCCTTAAAGAGGTGGGAAGAATGTGCTGCTGGAAGGTGGCCTGTTTATAAGTTAAATTCCAAGACAAAAGCACACTAAATACCATTCTCTCTGAGCAAACAGGTGTTGCCCCTGACCCCTAAATGCACCACACAGAACACCCCTGAAATTTCACAGCCTGAGTGTGGACAAAGATGACTCCTAGGATGGTACTGAACAGCAGAGGATGAGCTGGACACAGCTGGCCTCTGCATGCATCCTTGGCACGGTGCATCCTGGGGGGCAGCACATACAGTGCTTCTTCCACAGGCCGCTTCCCCCACAGCTCCGAGTGCACTTGCCATTCCTGGGGTCTCTGCTTGTGCAGCCACTGTTCCTTACCAACAGCAGGGAGGGGACAGGCAGAGTGAGTGAGACTCGGAAGGGATCACAACCCTCTAGCCTCGGGGTTCACCCATGTGGTTTTGCACAAGATAACACAGAACTTTCTTACCCAACATCATGGTAGCTTCAGTGTTTCCCTGAGCTGGCCGAGCTTTTAAACTTCTTGGCAATCTAGTCTTAGCAAGCAGTAAAACCAGCATCTGACCGAAGACAGGAGCTTGGACCAGAGAAGGAAGATCCAAATTCAAAGACAAAGAAGTAGGAGCAGAAGACGTGAGAACTGAGTTGCGTGGCAGCCAACAGCTCACACAGAGCCACCTCGGGGAGTCTCTCTATTTGCTCAGGGATGAGCCCGGCCTCCACATGTGTCCCTAATCCTGCCAAGGAAAGTACAACCGCCTGTCATCAGCATGTAGACAGCACAGCTGGCCACAGCGCTGGATGGCAATGTTAACAGCGGAGCCCTGGGTCCCCATGCTGAAGTGACGGTAGGGCTCTCTACAAACCTTTCCCAGAAATTACAGAGTCACATGTCAGGTACAGAAGTGAGTATATAACAGAAACAACTTAGTGGCAAGAGGGGAAACCTAAGCTTGGCTGTGAAAAGGACAACTAGGGCTGAGAAGTGTACACTCTAGCCTGATAAATTTCCTTGAATAAGAACCTGACTTTCCCCGTGCAATCCCAGCTGCATCACAGGGAACACAGAGAAGATACCACAAAGGAACATGGGTCCTGAACTTGCATTACTCATCTAAGAAGACAGCTGCTGTTCTTTTTTAAGAACATAACAGGGACATCACCTTCAGACACTGAGAATGCTATGGACTTCAGTATTTTACTATCTTCCCCAGCCTCGCCTCTCAACTTCTCCACCACTGCAGTGAAAAAGGATCTCTGGGACTGCAAGACCCCAGAGGCACACAGCAGGGACAACCTTCACCATGCATCTGTCACATGCTGCACAGGGCAGGGTCTGGCAGACAGCTTCTCTCACTGCTTTTGAAGGTGAGCTCTAACTAATTTAGATCCAACTTTGTATAAAAAGAAAACAAAACTTCAAGACGTGATTGAGATATTGTAAGAAAAGTCAGGTGTGGGGTACATGCCTGTTATTCCAGCATTTGGGAGGCTGAGGTAAGAGGATCACTGCAAGTTTAAGGGCAGGCTGTGCTACATAGTGAATTCAAAGCCAGTGCAGCCTATATAGGAAGTCCCTGTTTCAAAAACAAAACTAATGGGCTGGGGATTTAGCTCAGTGGTTCCCCCGCCTGCCTCGAAAGCGAAAGGTCCCGAGTTTGATCCGTGGTACCAAAAAAACCACAATAAAACAAACAACACAAAACTAATAAAGCAAACAAAAATAAAAGATGTTTGCTGGGTGTGGTGGCACACAACTGTAATCCCAGCGTTTGGTAGGCTGAAGCAGGGGGATCACTGCGAATTCAAGGCTAGCCTGAACTACATAGCGAGACCCTGTTTCAAAAAACAAAACAAAGACATAATTAAAAAAAAAAAAAAATCTGAGCTCTTTGCCGTTGTCCAACTTGGCCTGAGCAAGCGAAGTAGCAACGGCAAACTGGGAAAGAGGTAAGAAGCCCTGCCCAAGAGTCTTCAGAAGATGCCAGACGACTCTTCCAGTGTCTCCCCTTCATCAAATTCCAGCAGGGAAGCCACTGCTTTCCCTAGAACTACAGGAGAGAGCAGTGGGGGAGGCCCCGGTACTACCCAAGGAAAGTGCTTAAGATATAAAACGGACTCATTTTATTAAATAGTATAAAGGGTCCCCTTGGCACTGGCCACACACTTGCCCTTATGACAATGAGCCATGCTGATCTGCGCCAGTAGCAGAGGAAGAGCTACTGTAGCAAATGCTGAGCAAAGGTTCAAGTTTTGAGGGCCTCCTTCTCCTCCTCCTCCTCCTCCTCCTCCTCCTCCTCCTCCTCCGGCGTGTGGTGCCCTCCCCTGGTCTGCAGGATACAACAGGCTGCCCTCCCTGGGCCCTGGCACACGCCCAAAATGTGTCCTGTATACACACAGCAGCCGTGCATGGTCACCTGGAGGAGCTGCGCTCTTTGCTCACGCAGTCATCCTGTGAGGTGGTATCCCCGTTGCCCACCATGCTGCATGTCCTCCTCTTCTTCCTGCGGTGCATTGTTCCATCGCCTTCTGACCCAGACTCGCACTGGACATGGGAGGAAAACAAGAACTCAACCATGATGCAACCATTTCTTTGCAAAAACAAACTTGCGCCCTGAAGAGAGCACAGATACTAATCACTGTCTCCTGGAACAGAAGCAGCCAAACAGCAGCTCCACAGCACAGCCTGAGTGTTCATGCATGCTCAGGCTCCCTAAGAGTTGCAGACTTCTCACAGATGCCAATGGCTGCCCAGTGGTCTCTCGTGACAGGGTTATGGGTTTGCAATGAAGACCCCACTGTAAAATATCTCACACTTGGCATTCTGAGCTTGCTATGGGATTTCACTGCACCAATGCAGAGCTCAATGTGTCAAAGTACACAGGTACAACACTCGACAGTCTAAGTTCCCTCCCAATCCAGCCTGTTACACAGCAAGACTCTGCCTCAAAAAAAAAACACCAAAAAACCGAAGAGCAAAAATTAGCTGGTGATTAGTAAGGTGATGTACATGGGTAATTCCAGAACTTGAGAAGCTGAGGAAGGAGGCTCACAAGTTCAAGGCCAGCCTAGACTACACAGTGAGACTGTCTCACAGAGAGAGAAAAATCTCATGTGCTAAGGCGTAAGACCCTCTTACCCACTATTTTGTGTTCACTTAAGTTGATTTTCTGAGTCAACAGTATACTATCCACAGAGAAAATTCTTCACATGTGCTGTGAGGTCAATGGGACATGAATTTGAATCCTGACACTTGTTTGCTAGCTGTGCGATGTTGGGCCAGTTATAACCCTAAACGCCCACACCTCGGCAGCAGACAGGTCTCACACACATGATGTTGTCACGTGGGCAAGGGTCAGCCTTCTGCAGGAACAGTGACGCCGTAGCGCTTGGACAGAGGGACAGAGGTGGGCTGGTATTCACAGGTGCCTTAGGCCCAAGGCGCCCCCTGCAGGCGGGCCAGGCCTCCCTCACCTCAGAGTCAGAATCGGATGAGCTGGAGCTGGAGGAGCTGGAGGAGTCACTGGAGCTGTCAGAGGCAATGCCCGTGGACTCCTGGAGGTCAACGGCATCTGCTAGGACCGCCAGCTCAGGGTGCTCCTGCTTCAAGATCCTGAGAGGCAAGAGACATTCTCAGTACGGAGGCAGGCAGCAACACCCACACTCGATGATGCAGACTTCAAAGTGAGACCCACACTGCTTGAAGACACCTCAAGTGCCCAGTGTGTTGACTCGGAGCGACTCCTGTACATAGCCCCACACTGGAACAAAACCTCGAAGGCTGCCCACGCTGTTCCAGAGGAAAAGCTCCATTCTAGTTCCACACAATTCCCATCACCTGCCTGCGCAAGGGAGCCAGCCACACGGGTGCATGGGAGGCAGTGTTTCCTTGGGTTAGTCTTAGTTTTCTTCCTTTTCCTAGTTTTTTTTCCCTAGTTGCTGAGACTTTCCTGTTTTTTTTTTTTAATCTTTCATTTTCACAGCACAGCACTAATGATGGGAGTTTGGTTTGGTTAGATTCTACTTGTAAGAGCAGAAACAACTAGGTTTGTAAGAAATAAGGTGTCAATTAAGAGACTGTCCCCTGCACTTGGAAAGCAAACTTACAGACTCTAAGAGCTGTAGTCTTCCTCTGTAGGAATTTCACCTGGCTCCACTGTCACTAGCCACAAAAGACCTGCTGTCCATCATGGCCTTGCAGTGACCATGCTGAACACGTGGTGGCCTAAGGGCAGGGGTGGGCTGCAGATGCCGGGAGTCCAGGGGAACACAGCCACCACCCTTGTTGCCCTCTCAGAGGGAGGAGGTGCACTGAACAAGCCAGAACCCCCCTCTTACCCCGAGAGCTGGTCCCTCCAGGTCAGGGTTGGGATACAGTGGCACGGGGTGGCTGGGGGTGGCTTGCACTGCCGCTGCCCGTGCTGTATCTGGTCTGTGGATAAACAGAGGAGCTAAGTCTCCAGGGCAGTCACCTCACAAGAACTCAAGGCAGTAAGTGCAAATGGGAAGTGCTTCTGGGTAAGAAAAACAAAGAACCAAAGTAAAAACTAAGCAAAAGAGCTTTTTTTTGCTAGTGCTAGCTTTGAAAATCAAGTAAGCAAACAGACAAAAAAAGAAAAAGAAAAAGAAAACAAAAGGAGAAATAATCCCAATTACAACCATGTTTGGACTGAGTGGCTTTGAATGAACATGCAGGGGCTCCCCTGCCACCTGGAGGCCGGCAAACACCCTGAAAACTGGCCCTGACCTTGGCGCTCTCTCCCCTGCCAGTGAAGCCCTCTAAGGTCAGCACTGAGCACCGCAGGGATGGGCTCTTTTTATCTCCGGGGGAGGAGTCCGAACAAAGCAAAAATAAGAAAAGAAATGCTTCTCACCTATACCATTTCCTCGATAACTTTGGTCTCCCTCTTACCGTCTTGTGCCACACAACAGGGAAGTTGGTGCTGCTGGCAAAATTCTGGGTGATGGCAATGGTGGTGTCAAGATTGAGGACGACATGCCACCAGCCTCCTGAAACCCAACAAATAAATGGTTCAACAGTTTGGTCCCACAATCACTGTGTAACATGACTCCAGGAACTGGCCCTTCTTATCCAGAAGGCACAGCTCATGGATACATGATGCAGCTTGGTAAATGCTGCTGAACCGGGACTGGAAGTGGGCTGTTTGTGTCAATAAAGTGTGGCTGGAGCACAGCCACACCCAGCCCTTTAGATACTGTCTACGGCTGCTTTCCTGCTAGAGGCCAGAGTCAAGCAATTGTGAGAGAGACTATCTGAGCCTAGAATATTTACTCTGGCCCTTTACTGCAAGTTTGAGCCCTAGCAATCCAAAGTTATGCCCCACAAAACGGTAAAGGTAGAACGTTCTTCCGCTTCTAGGATGACTCACCTTAATCACTCTCCTAAGCTTCAATTATTAAAGTATAGTTGTTGGGGTGGGGGTTCCTGACTCAACCTAGCCAGCGCTACACTGTATCAACCCCCCCCTTTACAGAAATAGGCACAAACTGTTACACTGCAGAGATACTAGGTAACAGAGACACAGTTACTTTCATCTTGCATAAGAGCTGCCCCATCGAGATTCAGCTACATAGTGTCACCAGATTGGGTCACTTCATCTACATGACAAGCACAGGGCACCTTTTGGACCCCTTCTAAATGCAGCTCTACTCCAAAATGACAACACAAATTACTGCAATCAAAGAATGTACTGGGATGGGGTGTAGCTCAGGGGCAGAATGCTTGCCTAGCATGGGCACGGCGTGGGTTCCATGGCAAGGGGCTCAGCTATACCTGGGACAAAGACAGTCTCTCCTGGTTTCTGTAAGATTTCCAGGGGTCTGAATTCAGGGGGCCAAGTTGGAAGCTGTGTCCGGGGATAAATGACATTAAACCAGGTAATTGCTTCATCTTGCTGGTTCCCGCCTTCTTCTCGGGTCACCTTGATGAGCTCTCGGGGAGTGCTTGTTGGGAACAGGCACCAGCGCTTGTGGCCCTGAACTAAGGCATTCCAGGCACTGGTTCCCAGAGGGTCAATGTGAATCCCAGTCCCGGAACGTGGTGGCCCCATCACAAACCACCTACAGAAAAGAAACAAGGCAGGAAGGGGATTTTAATTATAGGTACATGGCACAAAAGAAGACTAAGTTCGCATTACTTATTAAATACTGTATTATTGATATTTCAGAGACTATACAAAGTTTGATACACAGAAACATTAAGTGAACTGTGCATGGAATGATCTCTAACAGGGAAAAAAAAAATCACAGAAGTAGTGTGTCCCTGGACCTTAACTGCTGAAACTTCCCTGACAGATCAGTGAGTCAACTTCAACCACACGTTTAAATGAGGGGCGGGGAGAAGTCTGACTAATCCGGATGTCCCAGGGCACCCCAAACTAATTAAATCATTCTCCCCAGAATAGGACCCTACAGTTAATGTGCAGCCGTGGGAGAACCACTCACTGTCTGGAAGATCAGCAGGCTGAACTCTGGTACAAATGCTGTTGGAGGTGAGTTGTTTTTTTTGAGACAGTGACTCACTACATAGCTCAGACTGGCCTTGAACTCTTAGCAATCATCCTGCCTCGGCCTCCCTAGTGCTGGGACTACAGGCGTGCGCCACCACACCCAGCCCTGGGTGAGATTTTAAGCACTGACCAGTAGAATATTTTACCTGTAAGGAGGCCTGCGCTTCTCCCCTGCGTATTGGAATAGGTCATCAGTGAAAAACTTGGGCACCCTGTAGTCTTCCAAAAGTTTCCTTCTTTTGGGGTGTTCTCCATAGCTACTATCAAAGATATAAAGGGGGCTGTCATCCCGAGTGCTCTCCATGTACTCGATGTAGTACTTCATCTTCATCTTCACCGAATAGCCGTCGTTATCCTCACCACACTTGAACTTCTGGTTGCGGTATTTCCTTTTTAGGCGCTCCAGAGTCCATTTCTCCTGTGCAGACCAGCCTTCTTGGGCATTCAGCAGAACCACGGGCTTGTAAGGTCTTTCATATCGCTCCACAAATTCTTCCACGGACAACTGTAAAGCGTCTGCCCTTTCCACGTTATCCTAAGGGAATTAAAAAAGACCTCTCCAGTTTAAAAAAAAAAACAAAACTCCGGTGGCAGACAAGGGTGTCTCCCAGGGCCAATTAGCAATGACATACATCGCCAATGGATGAGACTCCGCCCCCCGGGGGGGAGGGACGTGCTTGAGACCACGTTGCACCCGGAGCCACAGCATCTCCCTCCCACGTGTGGGTTTTGACAGCCGGGTCCCCCCAGGGTCCCGCCGCCCAAGGGGTCAGAGACGACCCGCCACCCGGTGGGAAGAGGGAGGCCCGCCCGGCCGTCCAGGCCTCGGGGACCCCGAACTCAGCCAGGCCGGCGCTCCGGCGACCGGGGAAGGTGCGGACGCCCGGCCCCGTGCCCTGCCCCGTGCCCTGCCCCGTGCCCTGCCCCGCTCACCGCCACGGCCGCCGGGTTCAGCGGGAAGCTGTCGTAGTAGTTGTGCCGGGTCCAGTCCAACGAGTCCTTGAGCTCCGGCCGCGCACTCCGCTTGGCCTCGCGGATCCGCTTCTTGCTCTTGTGGTTCATCCTTCGGGGTCACCAACTGATGCCGCAACGTCCTCGTTACAGCTCGCTTCCTGCCACTAAAGCGCCCTTCCCGACCAGGGCGGCGGCTAGGGCGACAGCGGCACCGAAACGCCCTTCGCTCCGGCCCGGCGCCTTTAAAGTCGCCTTCCAGAAAATTCACTCTCCAGCCTCCTCCCGAGCCTCGGGTTGGGTGTGAGGCAACTGTTCTCCCCGCCCCGCCGCGTCTCGCGGTCCGCCATTGGCCTCCGCACCTCCGAGCTCCGCCCTCACAAGAGCCAAGAGGGCGCCATGTTGAGAAGGTCGCGTTCCGAGGGAGCCGTGCCGTCGCTCTACCTCTCCCGCACCAGCTTCCGGCGTGCGCACCATTTCCGGCTGCGCTTCGCCGGTCTAATGCCCTCTTCCGGTCCAGTTCCAGCAGGGGCCTCGCTCTTTTTAGATCGTTTCGTTTGCTCAGCTCCGGGCTGCTCCTGCGATGCGTGCGGCTGCGTGATCGCCCGCGCAGGGCCTTTTCCTTCTCGTGGTCGGACAGGGCGGCGCGGAGCCACGTGGCGTCCCGGAGGCGGCCCCAGCTGGCCCGGCGTCCCACCTGCGCAGCCTGGCGGCTCGGCGTCCTGCGCCGTCCCCAGCCGGTCCGCCGCCCGCCGACTCCAATGCGGGCGAGCGCGGTCTTCCTGGCCATGTGGTCCGGGCCCAGCACTTTCGGTTCTCGGGGGAGACGGGCTCGGGAGCCGAGGATCCTGTGCTGGAGATCCGCGTCCCGCAGGTGCTCCGGTTCTCGACTGACTGGGTTGGGGTAGCGAAGCCGATGGGGCCCTCAGCTCCTCGGCCTCATGCTTCAGGTTGGCGTCCAGAGCCGCAGGTTTGGTCTGAAGCCCTTTGGTGGATTAAATGTCTCAGTGGGACAGTGGGGACCGAGCTGAGAAGGGGTCTTCACTTCGAATATATTTTCTATCGGGAAAGTGGTGTTAGTGACCCCTAATACTAACTGTTGAAAGGCTTCTCATTTCATCCTGTCTCTGTCTCTCGTTTCGGTTTTGAGGATTGATAGCATGCAAAGCAAGAGCTCTTATCTCTGAGCTGCAGCCTCAGCCCATATTTCTCTAGTCCAAATAAAGTTTCTTGGGTCGACTCTGGCTTCTTCCTGCCAGAGCTTTCAGTGTTCGGTTTTTCAAGAGGTAAACCCAGTTTGAGAAAAGTTAAAAGGCTGGAGTAGAACTCACTTCCGGGAGCCCCCAAGTAGCTTCACATTAAAATACTCTTGAATCTCTAAATTTAGGGAGGGGGATGAAGATTTTTCGTCATTAGGGCCCCGTTTTTTACTGCTCAAATCGGCACAGCTGTCCTCCGGTTAGACGTCCTTCATTGGCTATTGTACACCAGCTCCTACACTTAATGCTTAGCCTGTTGTACTGTACCCTACCCCCGCCTCCCATACTGGGGAAAGGGCCTTTGGACTACCCTATATCGCCAGCCCATTATTTTTTGAGGCAGGAGGGCCTCACCAAATTGCCCAGGTTGGGTTTAAACTTGTGGTCCTCCTGCCTCAGCCTCACAGAGTGCTGGGATTACAGGTGTGCACCGAGTTCAGTTATGGGCACCGTTTTTGAGTGATTTGAATGACAGGTTGGCTTGGTTCCTTCTCCACCTTTGATACTTTCCCCCTTGTAGCCTTTTCTGCCACTGCACCAGGAGCACCCTCTGCTCCAGAGGACAAAGTTTTTCAGTATTATTGCTAATACTGGTTGCTTTGTGCCTTGCACTGAGTATCCCCTATCACTTGATGGAGACAGTGTCTTGCAGTTGAGGAAACCAAAGCACTGACAGGTTAAGTAATTTGTGAGGTCACGCAGCTAGTAATAAATTTGTTTGGACCCAGGTAGGCTCATTCCGGGTTCAGAGCTGTTACCTTGCCGCTGATGACGTGCTAATGAGTCTAGCCTCCCAAAGCCTTTGACAGCTGCCCTCCTTCCGGCCTAGAACCCAGCTTCACTCACACCTCTCCCAGGGTGTCTTCCTTAGGCCTCTGCACACTACTTGCCATTAGCATACCTCGCAAGTTGCACTTTTTTTTTTTGGTACCGGGGATCGAACTCAGGACCTTGCACTTGAGAGGCAGGCAGTGGGACCAGTGAGCTAAATCCCTGGCCCCATGCAAGTTGCACTTCTGCTTAAAACCATCAAGTCTGTGTTGCCCTTAAAGAGTAAATTCTGGACTAATTACTGCGCCCAAAGAGATCCACAGGTCAGGCCCCTGCCTCTTCGGAACTACCCCTTGGGCCAGGGATTTAGCTCAGTGGTTCCGTTGCCTGCTATGCAAGCGCAAAGACCTGAGTTCGATCCCCAGTACAAAAAAAAAAACTACCCCTTAACCCTGCAGAGGGCTGTTTGGTCCAGCCCCAGGGCCCTCGAATCATTCTAGCTACAGCAGTCATCCGTGGTTAGCCCACCCCATCCCATTACGTTCTTAACCCTGTTTTACTATTTGTAGCACTTCATCACTAATCAGTACTCTCGCATTTGCTTGTTTGTCTTTCTCCATAGGATATAGTCTGGATTCCCAGCTGAAGGGCTCTTTTCTCAGGCAGTTTAAATGCTTGTGGAATCCACTGGGAGCTGTCGGTGTTTGTCACACTGCATCACAGGATTGTCATGTTTATAATGGATGCCAGTGTCGACACTGATTACTATACTCTAGTTTCTAGCAATTTTTATTTTTTAGTTTCCAGCAATTTTTACAGCATACATATAAAATTCTTTCCAGGTCCTGCACCCCCACTATGGAATGTACATTTGGCCTTGTGCCGTTGTCCTGGCCCAGTACCTCTGGTTTCACAGAAGAGATCTGCCAGGAAAGGCCGTCTTAGAGGTATGAGGGTCCATTTCCAGAATCCTGGGTATGTTCAGGGTTGAATCTGCATGCTAGTTACCAGCCCTGTTATTTGTAAAGTAGATGGTTTAGCCACTTGAAAGGTCGTGAGCTAAAGCAAGCTCTAAAGTTCTAATGGGAACTGGTATAACTTACTTCCACTCCTGGACCCAGTAATTAATCAAAAAGGAATTAACTTTTGCCTGACAAATGTAAAGCCTAAGCTTCTTAAGAGACAGGACAAACCTAGGAATGTACAGACGCTGCTCTCCAACCTAGGATTCATTCACCTCTACTCACACCTTTTAGGATGTCTCCCTAGGACTACTTGCCATTAGCAAGCCTCCCAAGTTACGTTTGTTAAAGAACGCAAAGGAGTTATCTAAAACCAAGTTCTCTGCCATCCAAATGATTTTTAAATGCTATCTTCCACATTTTTAAATTAGATTGGAGCAGGAGTGAGCCTTCCAGGGATCTTGGCTGCAAAATGTGGTGCTGAAGTGATACTGTCAGACAGTTCAGAGCTGCCTCACTGTCTCGAAATCTGTCGGCAAAGCTGCCAGATGAATAACCTTCCACAGGTGGATGTTGTAGGGCTGACTTGGGGTCACCTATCTCAGGATCTTTTGGCTCTACCACCACAAGATATTATTCTTGCATCTGATGTGTTCTTTGAACCAGAAGGTAAACCACTTTTGCTAAGAGTTTGGCCAGATACTGTGAAATGAAGTCCATTTAAAGAAATGTTTTTTCTCCTTAGATTTTGAAGACATTTTAAGTACAGTGTACTTTTTGATGCAGAAGAACCCCAACGTTCAATTGTGGTCTACCTATCAGGTTAGAAGGTATGAATAATTCTAATTTACTTACAATCTCATTAAAAGTTAAAGGGCAGAACCAAGAGGTGTAAGTTTGAAATCTTTTTTTTTTTTAAGTGCTGACTGGTCCCTTGAAGCTCTGCTTTACAAGTGGGATATGAACTGTGTCCATATTCCTCTGGAGACTTTTGATGCAGATAAGGAAGATATAGCAGAATCTGCGCTTCCAGGAAGACATACTATTGAAATGCTAGTCATCTCCCTTGGAAAGGGTCTCTGAATTATACCCATAAGCTGTTAAGGAACAATGTTGATACAGGGATCAGACCACCCTCAACTTCCTGGGAAAATGAAATGAGCTTGAAGATGGACAGATCTGCTGGTCTTAAGGCTATACCACCAAGACTGCTAATGGGGTAACATTAACCATGCAAACAATTAAAGTACATATGAATAAGGACTTGGATTGTTCTTAATCATTAAGCAGAAATTAGGTTGAAAAGGGGCTACTCAACCAAGTGCTACCTTGAAGCCATGATTTTAGGGGCTCAACTGGCACTTCTAATATAGGAAAAGCAGGTATTACTATTTTGTTGTCTTTATGCTATATAGCAACAGTGGCAAACCAATGGCATGTGTGCTGCGGCGGGCTGCTTGTATCATTGAAAGCTCTAAAAGGTTCACAACTGCTACACAGGCAAGTGACACTCAAGAAAACTGCACAGGTCTTTCAAATAAATGGCAAAAGAGACCAAGACCTTCTAAGAGTTAACACCAAGAAAACATTTTAATTAAACTACAGAAACAATGGTAATAGTACAGAATATTCATAAGCAAAGATACACCATGTTTTAAGTACTTACAAAGTTACAAACCATTTGTTTCCTTAACATTTTCCATTTTAAGTTCGTACATGAAGATGTGATCAGATTTACCATTTTGGGGAGTAGGGAAAAAAAGGTGTATTTATCATCAGCTAGATGTGCTCACTGTATGCTCCGTTATTTATATGCAAGGCCCGGGTGACTGGAAGTGCAGTTGACAGGCATTTTAATAAACTGGACAGCCATTTGTTTCTGCACGACAAGGCATCTTTACACAGGAGCAATCGGGAGAAAACAGGAAACAGCCAAGCACTCTGCACTGCAACACGCCACCTTAACAGCTAACCAGCATTACTCAACTGCTACACAACTGCGCCTAGTGCACAAAAATACATAAGAGAAGAGATTAGAATCGTGTTTGGTAAACAATCCTTTCAAAAAAAAAAATCAAGTCTTTTCACCTGAAAAGTCTTTATACAAATTTGGGTTCAGATTACCATTTAGGCCTGAAGGTAAATAACATATAAACAAATTTACACCAACTTTTGTAGGTTTTTAATTTTAAGGAATGAAGGCAATGTTGAGTCAATCTCTTGACAGCTTTAGGCTGTGTGTAATGGCTGCACTCGTTTCCTTAAAAGTCAAGAGGCCACAAATTAGGTTACCAATCTGTTTAATTTCAAACAAAAAAAGTCAGCACTATATAAACAAAATGAAATTTTACCTCAAATATCCAATCCAATAATGAAATCTGAAGTCGTTCACCTCACTAAATTACAAGAAATTTGAATAACAGCAACAAAATGGCACATAAAATGAAGTTTGCCACCTGAGGCAAAGTTTAAAACAAGTAAAAAGTTAGACAAATGTTACAAAATAACCTTTTCAATAGCCAGTTGCTTGTTCCAAGGACTCTTCCATGGACCGATGGACTGAGTTCGTGGTCCTTTTCCCCAAAGTCCTCTGTTATGCTGCTTGCCGATATATCTAGGTTTGAAAAGAAAAAAGTTCAGTTTACCTTCCCTTATTAAAAAGGTACCAAAGTGCACATGGTTTCAGTTTTCAGGTATGTACTTACTAAGGCTCTGGTGAAACAAATAGGTTACAGTAAGGTTCCACCCAGCCATCAAGAAGTTTTTAAAGGCCCAATTAAGAAATTTTCAAAATCAGTATTTACAAGTTTGAATTTACGATTTCTTGGCCAAATAACCAAAGTGAAAAAGAGGTAGGAGGGGAAGGGAGAAAAAAAAAAGAAAAAAAATGGGGAAAAAGGGCTGTATCCAAACAAAAGCAACATGAAATCTTATTACATTTTAAGAAATCCTTTTCAAATGAAATATTTGACATTGGAGAATGTTTTTATCCGAGCTACTTAGGGCCCTTTCCTTTTAAAAAATAGGACCAAACAATTTGAGAGTTAAAGACACACTATCCTTTCCCCACCCAGTGCAGTACCTGTAAACTTTCTTTTGGGGTTCCAAAAGTTCATTGCTTCTTAATTGCAATTCCTTTGCCACATCCATTAGAATATGAAGTCCCAGTCAGTACAACAATAGTTGAACTGATCATTTTTCTCTAACAGGATAGTGCATCTTTAACGTTTAAAGACAAACCTGCTCCAATACACGCCCACAGAAACTGGTCCCTGGAGGATCAGCCAAATCAGTTAAAATCTGCAATACTGGCCAATATTCTTTTATCAAACAGGAGACCGCAGCTTTAAAGGGGGAAAATGCAGACGTTGGATAAAAACAGCAAGAAATAATTATTTTCATTAATAGGTCTCAAAACAGTTCACGAAACAACCTTTACTATCTAAGCTTAATACACATCCTTTTTGCAGACCCCTCTTCAGTTTTACTCCCAAAGCCGAGTAACTTCAGAGCAGCACTCCAAACACCAGGAGTGGTCACCTTTATACTAGTATGGCTAAGACCGACTCCAAACCCCATTTACGAATCAAGGCTGTGCCTCGGATCCCGCAGACATTACCATTTTCTTACGAGGACACCGCTCCTTCCTCTTCTGGAGACTTGGGGGGGCTCTTGGATCGCGACCTGGACTTCGATTCCCTCTTGGACACGGGAGGAGGACTCCTGGACCGCGACCGGGATCGGGACCGCGACCGGGATCTGGACACCGACGAGGACTTGGACTTGGATCTTCGCGCAGATCTGGACTTGGAGGTCGATCGCGAGCGAGAGCGAGTGCGGGACCGAGACTTGGAGCGGCTGTAGCGAGAGCGGCTGCGGGAGCGGGAGCGGCTCCGACTCCGGGATCGGCTGCGGCGGCGCCTCCGAGGGCTGCGGGCGGGACGAGCGGCGGTGAGCGGAGAGGAGCGGAGCTGGGCCCGGCTCGCCCCGCCCGCGCCGCCATTATCTCGCTGCCAGGCGCCATTTCCCTCGCCGCGAGGCGGGATCCCGCCCTCCGCCCGGCCCGCCCCGGCCCTCCCGGCGGCCCCCGCCCGCTCACCTGCGGCTCCGGCGTCCGTAGCCACCGCCCCCGTACCTCCGGGGGGGCGGCCCGCGGCGGCTGTGGTGCGAGTCCGGCGGGCGGCCGTAGCGCGCCATCTGCACGCGCAGCTCACGGCCGTCCAGCACGGCCCCGTCCATGGCGTCCATGGCGTCCTCGGCGTCGCGCTTGTCGTGGAAGCGGACGAAGGCGAAGCCGCGGGACTCCTTGGTGTAGCGGTCCCGCGGGATGTACACGTCGCCGACGCGCCCGTACTTCTCGAAGACGCGCCTCAGAGTGTCCGGCGAGGTACGATAGGTCAGGTTATCAACCTTGAGAGAGGTCATGCCCTCCACATCGGGAGGCGGGCGACCGTAGCTCATGGCTGTGAGGCGGCCCGGTGTCCCGCCAACTGGCGCCGAGACTCTAACGCTTTGGGCGGGCCCGGACGCTCTGACGAAGCGGCGGCTTCCTCAGGTCGCGGTGGCGAAACGCCGCGCCTCTCCTCAGAAAGTTGCCGTCCGCGTGCGGAAGCTGAGAGGGAGGCGGGCGGGCGGGCACAGAAGCACCGCAACTAAGCGCACCTGAGCAGCAAATGAGCTGGGGATTCGCCTCAGCTTCCTCTTATAGCTCTCTTCACAAAATGGCGCCCGCGCCACCCGGAAATGAATCCTCTGATTGGCTCGCCTCGCTCCCCCTTATAACGTAGCGCCCTCGCGTCCCGCCCCTGTCTAGTGCGCCTGCGCAGGGCCCAGCGGGCGGGCGGAAAACGCGCAGTCACGGCTGTTGAGGGGGAGCAGCGATCGCAGGCGGATGGAAAGCCCGCGAAACCCTTGCTGTTGGCGAGGCTGGGCAAGAGCGCTCAGTAGCGGAAGAGGCGGTGCCCGTCATCTAGGTTCCCCCTTCTTTTCTTGCCAGTGCCTACGCTCCACGCTGCCCTTCCGCCCGCCCTTCATTTCCGCTTTTGTCCGAGAGGTACTCCTGTTCCCTGTTGCCCTGTGTCCCCGACCTCCTCAGACCCCGCCTCGTCACTCTAGACTCCCTCCCACAGGCCCCGACGGCCCTTTGCGGAGTTTCATTCCACAACCCCCTCCGCTTGATCGCCGCCCTACCCCCACCCCCGCGAGAGGCGGGGGTAGTGATGGAGCCTTCGCAGTGCGCGTGCGTATTCGCGTCCAGAGCCTTCTGGACTACTACTCCCAGTGGGCGCCGTGGCCGTGATCAGCTGACCTGTCCCATGACTTGCAGTGAGTCAGGCCCCGCGGGCGGGGCCGCGAGGCCGCTGTTTGCCCTAGCTCCTCATCCCCCCGCGGGCCCCTCAACCTGGAGCGGCGACATTCTTGGCTCTCTTCCGGTGTTGGGCTCTTCCCTACTCGGATCTTATCCCAGGAATGTCTTAACTGGGACCTCTAGGGGAACTTCACCCCAAGCCCGGAATTGTGATCCAAGAACTGGAAGTTGACAGCTTGGCTGCCTTGCTCCCGGATCTGCCTCCTGCTTTCACCGTCTCGTTTCTCCAGGATTGTCGGGCTTGCCCCGGAGGAGAGCTGACTGTCCTGGGCCGCCGCTGACCCCAGGCAGAGCGGAGCCAAAATGTCCCCGGAATCCAAAAAGCTTTTTAACATTATTATTTTAGGAGTTGCCTTTATGTTTATGTTCACCGCCTTTCAAACTTGTGGAAATGTGGCGGTGAGTTGGAATCCGTTCTCCCTCCTTTGAAGTGCGTGTGTCATTTCATTGTGAAAACGATTATAGACTTCAGTTATATCTAATAGCATGCGTAAATTGCATCTTCTCTTTCCTCACCTAGCCTTTCTCGTTTTCTGTGATGGGTTTTGATTTCATAATGTCAGATATTTCTCCTTTATGGGGTTTTACCGTTTATTTCTCCGATTTGATTTGGAGTTCCTGTGTTGACAGTACTTTATTTCTTTTCTGTATTAAGCTCTATGTTAATACTTGGGTAGTTAAAGTAGTAAAATCCAAGGCACGGGTACAGTTAGTTGTCCCCTCTTTCCTAGTCATTGCTTTGCCTTCTTCAATTGTGTTGTCCTTTTTCTTCTCTCAGAGTGGACATTCAGCATTAAGTATTGAGTATTGCGAATCTTGACGTTTATCTGAGAACTTGGAATCAGACTTTCAAAGGGGAAAAAGGATTGCAAAACGTTTTCATTGATTAGTTTTATTTTCTACACAGCAAACTGTCATCAGGAGCTTAAATAGCACAGATTTTCATGGCAGTGGATATACCAGGTATTGTACTGTGTGCTTGATTTTACTGTGCATGTAATGGCAGTTACTTAAATTCCATCAGAATCACCATCAATAAAATACTGTGATTGAATTAGTGATTTTTTTTTCTTTTTTTTTTTGGTCTCGGTGTCAGGACTACAGTACTCTATTTGGGAAACATAATGCAGTTAAAGGTGCTGAGTTTAGTTTCCTGTGGAATTAGATTGGGCTTGAAATCCCGGCTTCATAACTTAATTGCTTTGTTAGGTTAGGCAAGTTATTTCTATGAGCCGTTTCTTTGCTCGGAGGGTGTATATAAAGCACTTGGCGCAATGGGTGACATTTACTAAGTGCTCAATACTGTCAGAATTACATTTTCTCAATCCTAAACAGGTATTTTTTTTATGAGTCTTGAAACGTTTTATCCTCCTGTGTTAGTTATCTCCTGACAATTGTAATTTCATTCGAAGTTTTTAGATTTTTGTTGGTGTTTAGTTTTGGCTCTACAGATGAAGAAAATGAAAAGAGCTTCACAAGTCACTAGTACCTTGTGATTGTAGCTGGAAATGTAATTCGTACATTTGTGTATGTACAGATTTCTTTAAAAATCTAATTGACAATTGTATATGTTTATCTGTATAATATTGTTTTGAAATAGGTATATATTGTGAAATGGCTAAATTGGACTACACAAACAAGTTTCTTAATTTTTGTATAGTTAGCTCTTGTATTCTGGTACCCTCACACCCAAAACTTTTTTTTTTCCTGTTTGTTTTTGGTTTTTTGAGACAGAGCCTTGCTATGTAGCTCAGGCTGGCCTTGAACTTGTGGCATCCTCCTGCCTCAGCCTCTTGAGTGCTGGGATTACAGGCATGCACCACCATGCCTGACATCATAATTTTTTGTGTATCACATCACGTGTATTCTAAAGAACAAATGATCTGCATTCAGGAGGCTAAGGCAGGAAGTTCGAAAGTCTGAGCCCAGCCTGGGAAATTTAGTGTGGGACCCTGTCTCAAAATTAAAAAGTGGTGAGGGGGTAGTTCAGGCATAGAATGCTGGGTTCAAGTCCCAGTACTCTAAAACAAGAACAAGTGAAAGAGCACAATTGAGCTAGATGTGGTGTTTCCTGCCTATAATCCTAGCACTCAGCAGGCTGAGGCAGGCGGAACACTGAGTTCAAGGCCAGCATGGACTCTATAGTGAGTTCAAGGCAATGTGAACTACACAGTAAGACCCTGTCTCAAAAAAACAAAAACAAAATAACGCACCTTTGATATTTGAGAGATTGAGAAAAGCCAAAGAATAATTTACTTTGAATTTACAATACCGGCTAGTAAATGAAATCAGGATCCTCAAAATGGTACACTTTCTACAAGATAATATATAGTAATGGTGGGTCAGTAATAACTGAAAATGTTCACATAAGACCATTATTTTGAGTTATATAAATTTTGGATTAAGCAAGTTACAACTCAGTGCTTGTTATTTATAGCAAAGAAATGTCACGCAGTTGCCAGAAGTTGTAGGCTAATTTTGGAGTGTGGCAGGGTTGACCTGGGCCCCTGGAGTCATATTGCTAGAGACCGGATCCTGGCTCACCATTCACCAGCCACTAAACTTCTGGCAATTTATTTCACTCCACTGCATTACAGTTTTCAGCTCTCTATCGACATCTGCTTCTTAGAGCTTCAGAATTGAAAGAGGAAATATCTAGGAAGTATTTGGCCTAGTATCTGTTGTACAGTGGCTTTATTATAATTTATCAGTACATTGAAAACATTGTCCTAGGCAACTGATTCAAAGAAACTTCTGATGGAACTTCAATATTTTATATACATGTTATTTATCTTAAGGATATTATCATAAATTTTGACAAAGAATATTACAAATCCTGGAGACCCTAAATAGAGTTTTCTTTCCTTTTTGGTACCGGGAATTGAACTCAGGGCCTCGCCATTGCCAGGTAGGCGCTGTGCCTCTGAGCTTCATCCCTGGCCCCCTCTTATTTTCATTTTGCCCTTTTTTTGGGCCATACTGGTATTGAATCCAAGGTTTCTCACATGCTAGGCAAGTGCTGTACCACTGAGCTAAACCCCCAGCCCAAAATAGGGTTCTACAAGTGAGCTCTGTTGCGCTGAACAGGGTAGTGCACACCTATAATCCCAGCACTTGTGAGACAGGCAGGATTGTTGTGAGTTGGAGGCCAGTTTAGGCTAAATAATGAAACTCTTTATCCAAATATCAAAAACAAAAAAAGTGAGCTTTTTGAGACAGTGCTTGAATTTTATCCCCTTTTCCCTTTTGTGTGTTATTCGTGCAGCATGGCAATTATTTATGGAGTTTTCTCTGCTTCAAATTTGATTACGCCGTCTGTGGTTGCCATTGTGGGCCCTCAGCTCTCTATGTTTGCCAGTGGTTTATTTTACAGGTGAGTAGCACACTCTTCTTCCCCTTGCTAAGTTAGAACACTTCCAGCATCTTTGAAGAGCATAGAAAACTTAACAAGAACTTGTAGACTTGGGCTGGACAGAATAGAGGGTGGTATTTGAAGGATTGGCTCTCTGCTTATTGCTCAGAAATACCAGACCGTTCTAACTGATGGGATGAATGTATATCTGCTTTGGTTTTACTATAATAAACAGTATCCAAAGATCTCTTTCCATGGGGGTTGGAAAGAACTTTCCATGAAATAATTTTACCTTCTAGCAAGTTGACTAATGGAGATTCTAATGTCCTGTGTCATGTACTAAGCAGTGGCAGGGGCCACTGCAAACCTGTACAGTTTTGACAAAGTTGAAATAGTAGGTTAAGAAATGAGCAAGTCATGTTTGTCCCTTTTTTCAAAGCCAAGGAAGTTGTCTGCAGGTTGAATTTTTGAGGAGAGCCCTCAGACTTGACTCCTAGAAGGACACTTGGCATTCGGTTTCAGATATCCTTTGACCGTAATATGTTGACCTGTTATATTTTAGCATGTACATTGCCGTTTTTATCCAGCCCTTCCCCTGGTCCTTCTACACGGCGTCTGTTTTCATTGGAATTGCAGCTGCCGGTGAGCATTTTGATTTCTACCTGCCTGTTTTCTTGTGAGAGACTTGTCTAAGGGGATCATTTATGGGTTCAGTATGGAAAGCCAAGTTACTTCATTCCCTTGATAAACTTCTGGTTTGAATTTTAGTGCTTTGGACAGCACAGGGAAACTGCCTGACAATAAATTCAGATGAGCACACTATCGGGAGAAACAGTGGAATTTTCTGGGCACTCTTACAATCTAGGTAATAATCTTTTGGAACTCCGTCTTTCTGTTTCCTTTTTTGGTCCCATCATTTATTAGGTCTTTGTTTCATTGAAAATTCAGGTCTTCCATGTAGTGTGACTTAAGTTCCTTGCCGAATATGGTATAGATTCAGACTTTTATAGCTACTTAGAATGCACAAGACTACCTCATTAGAATGCAAGATTACTAAATAGGAAGTGATATTAACTTCTATGTATTTACCATCTGCTATATTTCAGGGACTGTTGGATTCTATTTAATTTCACATAATTCCCACACAACCTCATGAGGTTCTGGAGATGAGAAAACAAAGACTAAAAGGAAAGTAACAAATCCAATTTTAACCATCGTTATCTGGACTTCGGCAGCCACATCCTTCCCACTGAACTACTCAGCCTAGTAGCTATTAGCAAATACGTTAACATTTAAAAATGAAACTACACCAATACTGAGTGATATAGCATATTACATATTTCCTAGAGAAAAGCAAAACCTATTCTGCCTGTGACTGTTGGGAAATCTGAAGGCTTTACCTTTATGGTTACTGTGTAGGGTTTTCCCTTCAACAGGGCTTGGCAAAAACAGGTTTCATTTTTAGGAGTTGTGGAGTAAGAAATAGGAATGTAAGTAAATGATTCCTTCCATGGGAGAGTATGCAAAGTAAAGTTTCTGTTTAGATGCAGGTAATGATTTAGTTTAGAATTTTTCATAGATTCTTCAAAAGATTTTAAGATTTTTTAAAGTAGTATAAACTTGTTTCCAAGGAATCACTCCCACATTTCCACTGAAATCGCATATTTCAAAGTGAGTCAAGCCCTGTGCAGGGAGGACGGCTCTGAATCAGGTTACTGTCACATGGATGGAGTCTGAACTCTATCTGGGTCAGTTACTTTCTCAGAAAGGGTGGGGTTGAGACTTTCAAATGACCTCAGGCAGGTAGATAGTTTATAAATTGCGCCTCCATCTCTCTCTCTTTCTCAACAAATAATAGGAGTAATTGTTTTTACTAACCATTTAAGTATTATAATAATTTCCCAACACCCTCTCTCCCCTTCTCTGCCCTCAGCTTGTTCTTTGGAAATCTCTACATATATTTTGCCTGGCAAGGGAAAACCCAAATATCAGGTTTGTTTTATTCTTGTTTTTTTTAGATATGTTCAAAGCATGCCCACAGTGCCACAGAAATATCATTAGTACTTTATGTAAGTATTGTCCTGATGAGCTTTGGTACTTCACATTCTCCTAGATGTTTGCTTTGGGAAACTTTCTCCTGGGTTTATGGAATCAACTTCGGATTATAGATTAGGAATCTCGAAGTGTGAGAGAAGGGCATGCTGTGTATGAGTGTCCTAGTGAATCATCAGTAGACAGCTGAGTGCTCAGTTCTTTTGTTCATACCATTCTTTGATTAAAAGAATGATTGGATTCTTGCATTTTTTGGGGGGGGAGCTTGTTAGAAACCCTAAAAGACAAAGGTGGAAGTGGCTTACTTACCTCCTCACTCTAAATTTTTACTGATGCATTAAAATAAAAATTTAATGAGGAAGTGTTTTACCACTCACAAACAACCTTCAACATAATTCTAACTCAGGCCAGATGTGGTGGTGCACACCTATTATCCCAGCACTCTGGAGGCTGAGGCAGGAGCATTGCCTTGAGTTCCAGGCCAGCTTTGGCTACATAGTGACTCTTTCTAAAAAAAAAAAAAAAAAAAAATAATAATAATAATAATAGTTATTATTCAGGAATTGTGTAGTTGATGCTATCTACTTTCTTCTTTTTTTTCTATAGAGAGTGACCGAAGAACGGTGTTTATTGCCCTAACAGTGATTAGCCTTCTGGGGACAGTTCTGTTTTTTCTCATTCGGAAACCAGATCCTGAAAATGTCCTTGGAGAAGATGAATCTTCTGATGACCAGGACTTGGAAGTCGACGAGTAAGAAGTGGGGAGACATTCCTTTTCAAGTTCAAATAGATTCTGAGTAAATCTAGTCTAGAGTGGACCCAGCTTGGTTGTCCTAACTGATATCCAGTTCTGTCTGACAGTTACCACAGGCAGACAGGAGGGAAAAGTGTTCAAGCAGAGAAGAAAGGAAGATGCAGGGGAGCTGTGAGGAAGGAAAAAGGAGAAGGCTGCCTGAGGAAGGGAGTGAGTGAAAGGTTTCCAGGGATTTAGGTCTGTTGCCAGCATTGCCCGTGATCCGTGTGACCCTAGGCAATAGCAGTGAGCCCTTCCTGTGTCCAGGCCTCCGTCCTTTTGCTCCATTCAGTGGTCTCCTGTGTGTTCCCAGTGTCAGGGTGCAGGAATATAAAGTGAAATAGGAAACAGTCTGCCCTCAAGTCCTGTTTCTGTGATCCAGCTATAAATTTCTCGGGTTCCTGTGACATGTGTGGCAGGGCCACCAGCGCTTGTCCCCACCAGGCTCTTGGCGAACAGTAGCCAGCCCTTGCACTAACTAACCTGTCCAGGTGGCTTTCCCCACAGTGGACTAAGTGGGGAGACAGGCATGGAGCCCTGTGTCTCTGAGTACTGTAAATTACCTGAGCACGTTTCCATGGTGACACTGTTCCAAACAGCACAGGTGGTTTCTGCTATCATTTAGATTTGGGAAGGAAAAGAGAAATTAATCTTTGCCACTCTTGTTTTGCTTTGTGAATTGATAATCGGGAAGATCGTCTTGCAGCTTTTGTCTGTTGTTACAACTTGTGCATTGAGCATTCTGTGTTGCCTTTTCCATCCAAAAAGGGGCCCAGATGCTCCTGTTATTGAATCACTGTGTTTACTAAGTTTGCACTTTTTTTTTTTTTTGGTACTGGGGATTGAACTCGGGACCTTGCGCCTGCAAGGCAGGCGGCGGAACCACTGAGCTAAATCCCTGGCTCTGCACTGTTTCTTTAAAGCAAAGGAGAAGGGGATACTTTGGGTGTATGTGTGTATCTGTGTGTTTACACACATATGTGTTACATATGTACATGTATGTACAGTCATGCATTGCATCACAACATCCCGGGCAGTGATTGACTGCATGTGTGACAGGGGTCCCACTCTGTCACCTCGTGAGGACTGTGGTGTAGTTTGTGTCAGCACTCTGATGTTTGCATATCGCAGGTGCCTAAGGATGTGTTTCCCAGAATGCTGTCCTGTTCAGTGACAGTAACTATGGATATTGGAGAGAAGAGAATTGTGTCCCCGCGATAGGTGCAGTCCTTAGGAAGACTGCTCAGCCTGTCGAGCAGTCTCTGTTCCTAAATTGTCTCCCAAACACAGAGCTTCTGTGTCTCCTTTCTCCAAGTAGCACCCGTTGTGTGGCGGTTCTTTTAAACCTGGGGGACAGAGCAGTGCACGAGACAAGCCATCCATGTTCTCATGGGACTCGGCTTCAGAGGGGTGGCAGACAGTATGCGTGTGAGTAGACGCCACAGTGAGCCTTGGGGAGACTTCGGAGGAGGGGAGGGACAGGTGCTGGGGGGAGTGGAGAGCCGTGGGTGGTCAGTGCTAGACCAGGCAGTGGAAGGGGCCAAGACAGGCTCCTGAGGCTAGAAAGGTGAGGAGGGCGTGGAGCAGGAGGGTCTACAGGAGGCAAGGTTGGATTGTATAAAGCTGGCCTGGAGCTTGAAGTTCGATGTGGTCTGAGTAGAAGCCATTGAGGTATAAGTAGGAGCTGGTAATAAAAGCTCCCATGTGAATGCCCTGCAGAAAATGATATGAAGGTGGAAAGAGCAGCTCCACATCTGTCTTTTATCTCAGGTTCTTTTGTTTTGTTTTTTTGAGACGGGCTGGCTTTGTACTTCAGATTGGCCTTGAACTCCCTATTCTGTAGCCTAGACTGGCCTCGAACTCCTGGCCATCCTCCTGCCTCAGCTCCCCAAATGCTAGGACTATAGGTGTGTGCTACCACAGGCAGCTAATTTCTTAAATCAACTGTATCTCTATTGAAAGTTTGTTTTTGTTTTTGTTACCGGGGCTTGAACTCAGGTCCTTGTGCTTTTGAGGCAGGCAGCAGAACCACTGAGCTAAATCCCCAGCCCTATTGAAAGTTTTTTTAAGAAAATAATCATTTAACTCTCTAAGAAGCAAGATGTGCTGGCACATGCCTGTAATCCCAGCACTCAGAGCCTGAGGCAGGAGGATTGCAAGTTCAAGCCACCTTGGGCAACTTGGGCACTTAGCAAGACTCTGTCTCAAAAAAGAAAAAAGGTCTGGGAATGCAGCTCAGTGTGAAGGGCCTGGGTTCAATCCACAGTACTGTAAAAATCAGTCAATCAATAAATAATAAAGATCTAGGAAAACTAGACTTGGCTGATAGGGTAAAAAAATATAATTTTTAAAAAACTTTCTGGGTTGGGTGTGGTGGCACTTATTTGTAATCCCAGCACTCAGGAGGCTGAGGAAGAAGGATCACCTTGAGTTCCAGGCCAGCCTGGGCTACATACTGAGTTCAAGGCCAGTCTGAAGTACATAGTGAGACACTATCTCAACCACCCCCCTCAAAAAATACAACAAAAAACCAGAAAAACTTTCTCACTGTCATGTTGCTGTCAATTATAGTTACATTTAAAAAGATTATACTTGAACTGCATTATCTCACTTAAATCCTACAGGTAAGTGGTAGAGTCCTCATTTTACAACTGAATGTGGTGGTGCATGTCTGTAATTCTAACACTGTGGGAGGCAGAGGCAGGAGGATTTTAAATTGGTGCCCAGCCTGGGCAACTTGTTGATTTAGTGAGATCCTGTTTAAAAATAAAAAGTAAAAAAAGACTAGGAGAGGGATTTAGCTCAGTGGTTCCCCCACCTGCCTCACAAGTGCAAAGACCTGGGTTCGATCCCTGGTACCACACACACACACACAAAAAAGCCACAAAAAAAGACTAGGATGTAGTTTCATGCAAAGGTCCAGGGTTCAGTCTTCAGAACCACAAAACACAAATGAGGAAGTAAAACTTAGACAAAGACACTTGCTGTCTTAGTTACATTTCTTGCTGCTGAGACAAAATACCCAATGCCCAAAATTAAGGAAGGAAAAGTTTTTGGCTCACAGTTTGTAGAGGCTTCAGTTTATAGTTGGCTGGCTGCAAGGCAGAGTAGCATGGCAGACAGGCATTGCAGAGGAGAAACAGTTCCTGGTGGGCAGAAGGGAGCAAAGCAAGCAAGGGACGACCACAGCTCTTTCTCTTCCTTATATCTCATCCAGGCTACTCAGGGCGGGCAGCACTCACACCCTTAATCCTAGTGCCCCTGAGCCTAGCACTGCACCATGAATCAATCCTAGCATCACATACTGTAGATCCAGCCCCCTCTGAAAAAGCCCCGCCTATGACTGCAGGAGGCTTTGGGGGACATCTAGACACAGCCATAACACTTGCCTAAAATGTTACAACTACGTAGTAAGTGACAAAACCAGGGCTCAGACACCAGAGTTCATATGTTCAACCAAAAGGTAATTCTGTTTTCAACCATGCCGCACAGAGGATGGTTATTTTCTTTCTTTCGTTTGTGGGCGGCACTTTAAACACAGTCTGTAAAGCAAGGACCTGGGCCACGAAGGGACCCAGCCCACTGGATGTGCTTGCCAGACCGGAGAGCACAGAGCTGTTCCAGACTGCAGTGAAGAGGGGATGGACATTTCATACCTAGGTAGTATTTATTTTTAATTTTCAGGGGGAAAATGTATTTTCTTTATTTTCCCAGGTCTGCCCAGAACAATATGACAAAGGCAGTAGATGCGTTTAGTAAGTATTCTCGGTATCTGAAATGGGACAGCTGTTCAGGAACCTTCAGCCTTTGCCTTTCCCCTTCCCCTGGTAACTGGATTGACGGGCCCCCAGTGTTTCCATTTTGCCAGGTATGCTGGTCTCTCCGTAAAAGGCTCTCTGACCTTGGGGTGGAAATGGGGCCAACAGAGGCGCCCCCCTGTGCAGGAGTGGAGGTTGGGGGCCAAGGCAAATTGGGCTCTTGGGTGGGGAGCACATGGGGAGTTTGGGGGGGGGCAGGTGGGCTGTTGGCCACTTTGAGGGCCTGAGCGGTGGCCCTAGGGACCCAGAGACGAGTCTCCTCAACTCTTGACGTAACATAGTTTACTTTCCGTAACGCTCACAACTCTATGAGTATTCTGAAATATGAGCTATTATGCTTAACTCCATTCTAGAGAAGAGAAAACTGAGGCTTAAAGAGGTGAAAGAACTTCCCCAAGGTCATCCAGCTAGTGGGTAGGTGCTGAGCCAGGATCGGAGGCCACCATGTCTGACGGGCAGAGCAGGCATTCTCGGAATGGTTCCTTCTGACTCCTGCCCGCGGCCATCTCACCCAGGCAGTGACTCTCCACAGAGAGCATGACTGCATGGTGGCTATGGAGCCCCCAGGGCCCTTAAGTATTTATGACTTGTTTATGGAAAGCCTTGGGCTAGTGGGAAATTCGTGATCTAATCAGCGGTGGCCCAGCTCAGAGGACACATGCGTGTCAGAGCATGCGTTCCCGAGGAATTCCTGTGATCCTTTTTAGAAAGGGTCTGTGTGTATGTTGGTCTGAGCCCTGCATACAGAGTACATTATGTAATCACAGCTGTTTTATCAGACTTTCTTTTATGAGTGTCTTATATTTCAGGAATGTATTCATAATTATAAATCAGGCTACTTGTATTATTAAATAGGGTATAGCCTGACTCCCCAGCAAGATGGGAGGTCACTACCATTCACAATCTGGCTTTTAGCTCTGCAGGTCTAGGAACTTGTCTGTCAGAAGAGCCACTGTTGCTGGGCATGGTGACGCATACCTACACTCCCAGCACTCCAGGGTGAGGCAGAAGGATTGCTGTGAGTTCAAGGCCAGCCTGAACTATATAGTAAGACCCTGTCTCAAAAAACCAATAAAGAAAAACCCCCCCAAAAAACAGAAGAGCCATTATCCTCAGAGGATTCAGAGGGGAAATGACTTGTTAAACCCTAAAGAAATTTCAGTTTAACAGTTGATGCAGTTCTTTAGTGAGCCCTTTCATGGCTGTTCCTTTCTTGTTCTCAAGGGCCTAGAAAGCCCATTGGCTTCATTGGTGCTCTTGGAGTTAGGGAAGGGAGTGTAGATGACTTCCAGTTTCCAGTTGTCCCCAGGAAAGTGAAGGGCAGTGCAGCCTCTCTGCTCTCAAGTACAGCACCCCCTGGTGGGTGGGCTGAATTCAGGATTTCCTGACTAGACAGTCCCGGACTTTGACCCAACTCTGCCTGTAAAATGCGGCACAGGCTTCTGGTTGTAGATCTCATCAGTCACTTGCTAGGTTCCACTGGAAGAGGAGGGTGGGCTGGCAGGTTGGAGCAGAGAAAAAGGAGAGGACAGCAGCCAAAGAAGGTGCACACATGCAGGTTTAGCAGAGGTTTAGCAGGTTTAGGTAACGGGGTGGGCACAGCGTGAGCTGTGAGGTGGCCTGCAAGCCAAAAGGCAGGGGAGGAAGGAAAAGGCCAAGGCCTTATGTAGCTGGTCTGTGGCCAGGGTTTCGTTTCTTGTTTATTAATCAATCCTGACAATCCTCCTGATGGTTTTGTGAGGGAGGTTGTACAGACTGTTCTCCTTAGCATCTAAAAGTGCTCAATTCCTAAATTGAATAGATAAGTTGAATGGGATTCTAGAACATTTTGGTGGGATTTAAAAAAAAATTGTTGTTGAATCTTACCAAAATGATGCTGAAGTGTCTCTGCTAGAATAAATGTCTGAAAATAGCCAAGACCATGTTTAAAAAGGAGGTGAGAAACTTATCCTGATAATCTTTAAAACATATTATGAATTGATTTGGAAACATTGGCATAGCAAGGCTAGTCTAGACTCCAGTCCATATCCATAGAGAAACAGATGCAGCCAGTGTGAGTCTCAGGCCAGGCCAGGTAGCTTACTGCTTAGAAAAGTACAGGCTCCTAGGGCCGGGGGTGAAGCTCAGTGGCACTGCCCCTGCCTCACAAGTGCAAGGTCCTGAGTTCAATCCCTGGTAGGAAAAAGAAAAGACAAGTTTTTTTGTTGTTTTTTGGGGTTTTTTAAGGGAAGAAAAATACAGGCTCCTAAGCAGGGTGTGGTGGCACATGCCTATAATCCCAGCACTTGGGAGGCTGAGCCAGGAGGATCTCTGTGAGTTCAAGGCCAGCTTGAACCACATAGCAAGACCTTGTATTAAAAAATAAATAAATAAAAAAGAATGAAAAGAAAAGAAAAATACAGGCTCCCTTCTCACTTCATACTGAAACTCCAGCTAAAGACCAAATTAAGAAGGAAATCATGAGAATAATTGGAGCAAATGATGGGATAGAGAAACGACTTGCAAACAAGTAAATCAAAAAAAAAAAAAAAAAAAGACTGCTTGGGCCGGGGACTTAGCTCAGTGGTTCGGGCACCTGCCGTGCAAGCACAAGGGCCCGAGTTCGATCCCCGGTACCAAAAAAAAAAAGACTGCTGTTTGTTTAACTAAAATGTAAAACCACAGCCTATCAACATTTCCTAACAAAGTTAAAACAGCAGGGAACATCTTTTCAGTGTATGATGATCAGCTCTTAGGAACTGATAAGACATAAATGCTATGGTAGAAAAAACTTATTGAACTTAAAAGGTAAATAATACTTAGCATTGTAAGGAGTGAGTCTTGACACATAAGGATCCATTCTTATAGTACTTTCTTGAAAGGTGACTTATCAGTAAATATCAAAAGCATAAAAATGTTTATAAATTTTGGCCCAATGGAGTACCCCATTTTACTAATAAGATTATCCTGAGGAAATAATTAAGAACTTTGCCAAGATTTAACTAAAATGTTTATATTAGCAAGAAACTATGATTTAATTCAACAGAGAAGCGTTAGTACATCTGTATGAAAGATTAGCTATTGAAATGTCTGTATAGCCAGGGTTTCGCCGCCTGCTGCGCAAACGCAAGGATCGAAGTTCGATCCCCAGTACCAAAAAAAAAAAAAAAAATGTCTGTACAGGATGGGCAGGGTGGCAGAAGCCTGCAATCCCAGCACTAGGAAGCCTGAGGCAGGAGGATCACCATGATTTGGAGGTCAGCCAGCCTGGGCTACATAGCAAGACCTTATCTCAAAAAGCAAAACAAAACAAAAAAATCCTTTACAAATATTTGAAAATATCTATTCTAATATGTGAAAAAAAAGTTAAATAGTGTAAATAATGGGTTTTGGTTTTGTAAAAAGAAACACGGAAGAGGTCTGGAAGGCCAGGCATGGTGACATACACCTGTGATTCCAGCACTCAGGAGGCCGTGGCTGGAGGATTTCTGTGAGTTCAAGGCCAGCCTGGGGTACATACTGGTAGTGAATTCAAGGCTGGTCTGATCTGCTAGTGAGACTCTGTCTCAAAAAAAAATAGTCTGGAAGGAGATTCATTAAGGTGTTAATTTATGTTCTTTATGAAGATACGGTTCACAGGCCATACAAGTCACCCTTTTAAACAACTTATACAATTTGGTACAAGTTCAGTACAATTTATGATATTCACAGAGCATGTAACCATCACAACAATCAATTTTAGAACATTTCATTACTTGGGTAAGAACCCATGTAGCCCTCAGCAGTGGCCCGTCACTCCCACCCTCCTGCTTGCATCTGGAGCCTGAGGCAGCCTTGATCTACTTCCTGTCTATAGATTTGCCTCTTCTGGATATTTGATTTCTATGGAATCATACATTATGTGTTCTCTTGTGACTGGTGTTTTTGGCTTAGCATAATGGTTTGACATGTTAAAAAATTGGAGTTGTTTCTGTTTTTCAGGTGCTATGCTGAGCAATATGCTGTGTATTAGTTTTTGTGTGGATGTGTATTTTCACATCTCTTGAATGTATACCTAGGAGTAGTTAAATTGCTGGTCACCCAGCTGTGGACTGAGTGGCCTCTCAGGGCACCGTCTGGGGAGGAATTGCTGGATCGAGGGGATTTTCCATGCCCTCCGTGGGTACAGGAGTGCACCAGGTTTTCTGCATCCCTGCAACTGTTTGCTGTGGTTTTCACTGCGTCCTAGTGGTGGGAAGTGGTTTTGATTTGAATTCCCCCATGGCTAATGCTATTGAGTGTATTTTCATATGCTTATAGGCTGTTTGTGTCTTATCTTCTTGGGAGAAATGCCTGCTCAGATTGATTGCCCTTTTTTGTTTTCTTTTTTTGGTGGTCATGGTATTTGTACCAGGGATTGAGCCCAGGGCCTTTGCACTGAGCTACATCCCTAGCCTTTTTTATTTTGGTCCTTTGCCATTGTTTTGTTTTATTTTTATTTTTGTTTTGTTTTTCCAATACTGGAGATTGAACTCAGGACCTTGCACTTGCCAGGCAGGTACAGCACCGTTGAGCCACTTCCCCGGCTTATTTGTTTTTGTTTTTTGAGGCAGAGTCTCGCTGTTTAGCCCAGGCTGGCCTTGAACTCATGGCGATCCTCCTGCCTCAGCCTCTTGAGTGCTAGGATCACAGGCATGCACCACCATGCCGAGCTCCTTGCCTTTTCTAAATTGGGTTGTCTTTTATTATTGGGAGAGTCTAAATCATACACACACACACACACACACACACACACGCACACGTAAGTACTTTTTCTTCCATTGTGTGGGTTACTTTTCATTTTCTTCATAGTATCTTTCAAAACAAAAGTTTTAAATTTCCCATTCAGCTTGATTGAGGCATAGTTCACAAATAAAAATTATGCATATTTGTGGCGTACAATATGATGTTTTCATGTAAGTGTGTACTGTGAAATGATTGTCACCATCAAGCTAATTAACATATCTGTCACCTCATGTACTTACTGTTTTTTGTGTATGTGACGAGAGCATTGGAGAGCTACTCAGCAAAGTTGGAGCGTGCTGTGGAGGAGTATCATTAAGTGTAATCACCAAGCTGTACCTTAGAGCCGCAGGTCTTACCCTGCCTGATGGAACTTTGTACTCGCTAATCAGTATTCCTCACACCCTCTCCTGCCGGCCCCTGCAGCTGTCATTCTCTCTGCTTCTGGGTTCTGCTGCTCTGGATCCCAGATGTGAGCAGGGTGGTGCAGTATTTGTCGTTTCCGTATCTGGCTTATTTCAGTAGTGTAGTATCCTCCAGGTTCAACCGTGCTGCCCCAAGTGGCAGGATTTCCTTCTTTTTTTTAAGGCCGAATAATATTCCTCTGTGTGTGTTTGTCATGTTTTCTCTATGTGTCTGTCAGTGGACTCCTAGTTATTTTTATCTGCTGACTGTTGGGAATGATGCTGCAGTGCCAGGTAGCACAAATGTTTCTTCAAGAAGTGAGATCCCTGGTTTGTGTGATAGTTTGATTTAATTCTTTTGAGGAACTTGTGTATTTTCCGTAATGAGTATACTAATTTACATTCTTACCAGCAGTGCACTAGGGTTCCCTTTTTCCTACACCCTTTCCAACATTTGATATCTTTTCCCCTTTTGGTAATAGCCATGCTAACATATGCAAAGTGGTATTGTGGTTCTGATAAAAGTTTTTAATTCTGATGAAGTCTGATTTATCTACTTTTTCTTTTGCTGTGTGTCCTTTTGGCATCCAGTGAAGTTCTTGCTTAACTCCAGGTCATGGAAATTTAGTCCTATATTTTCTTGTAAGAGTTTTGTAGTTTTAGTTGTTACATTTAGGTCTGTAATCCATTGCAAGTTAATTTTTGTGTTTGGTGTGCGAGGCAGGCTCCAGTTTTGTTCTTCAATGTGTGGGTACGCAGTTATCCTGGAACCATTTGCTGAGAAGTCTGTTCTTTCCCCACTGAACTGTGCTGTTGCCCTTGTTGAAAATCTGTCCTTATGCATTATATCAAATTTTCCACTGTAAAGTAGAAATTAAGAGTTTATGTAGTTTTTATATATTATAATATTTCTTCAGGGCTGGAGATTTAGCTCAGTTGTTTCGCCGCCTGCTGCGCAAGTGCAAGGACCCGAGTTCGATCCCCCATACCAAAAAAAAAAAAATTTCTTCAAATAATATCTCCTATAAAGCAAAAAAAGAAAAAAAAAAAGGAAAGAAAATCAGTTGTCCATGAATGCAAGGATTTATTTCTAGGTACGTGTACAGTGGACCCTTGACTTATGAACTCAGTTCATTCCCGAGGCCTGGTTATACCTCAAGTTGATCAATTGAAGGCTCAGGCTCCTCTACACAGCCTTCAAAGTCTGTCTTCTCCGTACAGGCAGATCTCAGTGCCCTTAGAGAGACATCGGCCCAGGATTTCTCAGTGAACCCCACCCAGGAAAGGATTTTATAATGGTCCTTCCAGAACTCTGTAAGGGTTAAATCTATATCTGAGACCATCTGGAAGCACAAGCAGCCAGCATTTGGGTCATAACTCAAAACTTTGTTCTTAAGTTAAAACTAAAATTCCAGGCCCAGGGATTTAGCTTAGTGGTTCTGGCGCCTGCCTCACAGCTCGAGGTCCCGAGTTTGATCCCTGGTACCCCCAAAAAAGAAAAACTAAACTAAAATTCCAGTTGTAACCCAAGTTGTTTGTATGTCAGGCCAGTCATAACTTGAGGGTCCACTGTATCTGTCTCTGTGCCAGAACCATGCTGATCACTGTGTGTTTAGATAGAGTGAGTCCTCTACATTTGTTCTTTTTTTATTTTTTATCCTTTTCCCTCAGTACTGGGGATTGAACTCAGGACCTTGCACTTGCCAGGCAGGCACAGCGCCACTGAGCTACATCCCTGGCCCTACATTTGTTCTTTTCCAAGATTGTTTTGGCTGTTCTGGGTCCCCTGAATTTGCATATGAGTTGCAGGATGGGTTAAACAATTTTTGCAAATAGATTTTATGTCTGTAGGTTTTAATAGACTTTATTTTTTTAGAAGTGTTTTAGGTTTATAGCAAAATTCAACAGAAAATAGAGTTCCCATAGTCTCCTTGACCCTACGCATGGGGACACAGCTCCCCCTGTTGTCATTGCCCCCCCTCAGTGGTACCTGTTACAATGGATAGACCTGCAGGGGCACAATGTTATCACCCAAGGGTTATGGTTTACATTAGAGTTCATCCTTGGTGTTGTACGTTCTATGTGTTTGGACAAATGTATGATGCTGTGTATCAGCTGTTAGAGTATCATGCTAGGTAATGTATTGGAATTTCATCTTGTTAACTAAATCTTCTAATTATTCTAAAGAGAATATATTTTGCTAATGTAATTTTTATAAATTAGAAATGTTTAAAAAACTTTGTATTATTTATGTATTTTCTCCTGAAAATACCTGGAAGTGATTGGTGAAAATTTCCTACTGCATTTATTCTCACTGTATTTCAGTGAGATTAGAGCAAAAATACCCTTTTTTGCCTGTGGAGAGCATAGGACCTCTTCAGGACAGCGTTGGCTAGGCCAGTGGTTGGAAAAGAACTAAGTCCAGGTCCATGCTTAATTTAGTAGAGTAGGTCAGCGGTCTTAAGTTATAAGAGGTGAGCAGGTTCAAATGTGGGGTTTTTATAAATGCATTCTCCATCACACATTTCCGCACAGTTGCACACACGTTACAGTGACTGGAAACAGGTATATGGCCCTGAGGTTTCAGCTTGGTTTCCCCAAGTCCTGGGGAGTGATGCCCCAGCTTTCCCTGGTGACTCCGACCTTGAGCCCAGCTGCACGGCTGCCCCAGGATGATTCCTTGGGGAGCTCAGTACTTTGCTAATGTCTCGCTTCGAAGCATAGCTTTAATCATGGCCATGGAAGTTCGTGGTGGTTTTGTTTGATTCTATTTTTTTCTCCTCCCTTTCACACTGTTTTTGTTATTAAGGGCTGCAAAGTATTTTTAGGAAAATGCAACTCCGGAATATATTTAAGCTCTTGGAATAAACATTTTATTTTTAGGCAGCTTTAGTTCATACCTTAAGCATTTTAATATGAATATTGAACTTCTGTCCCAAAGTATTTGATTACTGGCATTATTGACAGGGGATGGTTTGGTTGAAGCAATGTATTAGAACTTTGATTAATTAAGCTCTAGTTAAGCAGTCCTATTTTTTTTTTCTTTACAGAAAAGTCTCTTAAGCTCTGTGTCACCAAGGAGATGCTCCTTCTTAGTATCACAACTGCTTATACAGGTAAGGGGATTGTCATTGTGGTTGCCTGCTGTTGCGTAATGATAGTAAGAGGTACAAGCAGTAGCCATGTCATTTCTTGCGCTTCTATGCTTTGACTACTCTAAGCTGTGGCATCACTCGGTGTCTCCTCAGGCTCCTTTCCAAGGGCAGCTGGGGCTGGAGCTTCCTAGGCAGTTTCATTCATATGTCTGCTACCTTGCCAGGGTTGGCAGAAAGACTGGGTCAGTCAGTCTGTCTGTCTCTCTCCTTGTAGTCTTGGACCCCTCCCATCTGCAGGATCTCATGACCAGGCAGGAGAGTCAAACTTCTTAGTGGCGAAAGGCACCAAAAGACCAACAGGAAAAACTACCAGACTTTCCTAAAGGTCCAGCCTGGGACCAGCCCAAGATCACTCCTGGTGCATTCTGTTGGTGACAGCGAACCACAGGGCCAGCCCAAGTTCGGTGTGGGAGGATTCTGTACAAGGGCAGGACAACCAGTAATCAGGGTTCTTGTGGTTTGAAGGCAACAGCAAATAACTAGACAAACCCCTGTAGCTTTATATGGACTTTATTCATCACTTCTAATGAAATAGAAGCAGGTGAGACTGTGGTGGGAGAACAGCTGGGGTGCTTTGAGGTCCCAAGAATGATGAGGAAATCCACTTTCTTTTAAAACATGCTATGCCGATTGCTGTTCCTACTTCTGCGTGCCTCATCATTTTAGGAGAAAATGAATGAACACAAACATGTTCCCGCCAGCTTGAACCACCAGTGGTTACAGGCATGACTGTCTCATCTGGTGGCCTGTGCCACTGCTGGTACAAACAGATCTAATTACTTTCATCAGTCTTTTTACTAATAAAGTTAATGTTTAAAAAATCTATAAATGGACTGAATCTAGTTAGTTGCATAAATTTGAATAATTACTGCCCAAATGTAAATATTAATACTATTCGGACCAACTGAAGATTATTATAATAATCAACAAATTTATTTCATTAAATTAAAAGAAATTTATTTATGGGCTGGGGATTTAGCTCAGTGTTTCCGCCGCCTGCCCCGTAAGCGCAAGGACCTGAGTTCGATTCCCAATACCAAAAAAAAAAATTTATTTATATTGGTGAATTTCTTTAAAATATTTTATACATAAAGGTGGCTGATTTTTACAGTGTGCAAAACATCATAATATGTTTGGCTTTTTTCCAGCCATGGCAGAACCCATTTTTTCAGATAGTCATGTATGTACCACCAGGGATTCAAGCTGGTGGGATGATCAGATTCAAATCAGAGTTGCTTGGCAGCAAGACAGGAATTACAGCCCTGTCATGAACGTGTTAAACATCTGTAAAATTCAGTTAAGGTTTTGTAGCATTAAGGGATTAAAAAGAAAGTCTTCTGTTGATCCATCCTAATTTTTTACTAATTTTAGAAGTTTTCCTTTCTTAGAAAAAATGTTTTCTTTAAAACATGATATGTCTTAAGCAACAGTGGCTAGTGTATTTTGGCTTCCCAGTACGGTAAGAATGCAGTCATTGCAGGAGTAGGAATGCCCCTGTTCCCCGTGTTCACTGTTACACATTTATTTTAGTTATATCCTCTGCCCATTCCATGCCTGCATGAGAGTGACAGGTTTTAACATAAGGATGTCTGTTTATTGGAAATTTATGATTTAATCAAAATACATGGCAGCTGCTTTCTTGTGGTGTTATCTTGAGCTGCTATAACAAGTTGCCATAGACCAGTAGTTTAAACAATACGTGTGTATTTGTCATGCTTCTGGAGACTAGGGAGTATGAGCCTGGAGAGGCAGCATGGTCAGCATCTAGTGAGTGCCTCTTCCTGGTTTATCAACAGCTATTTTCTCCCTGTGTGCTCACAGGGCAGACAGAAAGGGGACCGGAAGTCATCTCGCTGGTGTCTGTCTTCAGGTGAGGGCACTGATCCCATTGTGAGGGTTCCACTCTCCTGATCTGATTAGCTCCTGAAGGCCCCATCTCCAAGAGCCACTGAAACAGTGAATTCTGTACAAACCAAGCTCCTGCTTTGACAATGAGGAGGAGTGCAGTCATGGACCGAAAGGCGGAAGTTAGGAGAGTTTTTATTGGAAATCAGAAGAAGAAAAAAAAATTCCTGCTTCCTCCAGGAAGGGAATCCGAAAAGTGGAAATTCCTTGTCGGCCTTGGGGTCTAGAACTTTTTATGGATAAGAGGAATTGCTCAGTTGTTAGTGGCCACCTATCACAGGTGGCTCTGTGAACTTAAAATGACCAACTGGAACGTAGGCTCTGTAACCTACTTACTCAGCATGGAGGGTTTAAAGGAAACTGGGGTTTTAAAGAAAAATGCATTATTTTGCGTTTTGGAAAGTTTCTCAAAATTCAGGAGCTTAATAGGAAGGGGCTGCATTCATGTGGCCTGAGGAAGTTAATTCTTGGTCCAGAGACCTTCACTGTTATTCTTATTTTCATTCTTATCAGCAGAGCCATTTCCCCAGCAAGCTGCCTGTTCGTAAGCCAACTGAATGAGCTGGTTTTTACACCATCATGTTTGTAGTGTTAGGGTTTTTGGTTTTGGTTTTAGTTTTGGTTTTGATTTACTGAGACAAAGTGTTGCTTTCTAGATCAGGCTGGGCTCAAACTTGGAGCTGCCTCAGTCTCTAGGGCTGACTTTGAACTCATCATGTATCCTAGGGTACCTGGAATTTGTAGCAATCCTCCTGCCTCAGCCTCCTCAGTGCTGGGATTATAGGCATGTGCCACGATGCCCAGCTGAGGATTAGGGTTTTAACATGAATTTTGAAGGCAGCCAGGCATTCAGTTCTTACCGGATGGCTAATTTCTTTTCATTATTTATATAGCGCAGAATTATGCTCTGTTTGGGAACAATATTTCAGCCTCAATGATTTTTGTTTTATGTGTATGCTTTATGTGTATATACCTCAACTACCGCTAGACATGAAAAACTAGGAAAAGGAGAATGTGAATGTAAGGTTAAATTAAATCTTATTTTTATCTCTAAAGGTCTGGAGTTGACTTTCTTCTCTGGTGTATATGGAACCTGTATTGGTGCCATAAATAAATTTGGAACAGAAGAGAAAAGCCTCATTGGACTTTCTGGCATTTTCATTGGCATTGGAGAAATTCTAGGTTGGTTTTTTTTAAAAAAGCCTTTGAATATTTGTTAGAGATAAAATACAAATTTTAAGTGTATTTCTCTGTCCTTGAATTTTTGCTTTTCCTACTTATTTTTTATCCAACCAGGAATGTTTTTTCTCTTACCACTGTTCTAAGATAAGTAAATTATAAAACATTTGCCAGATACTTCACAGATGGAAACCACAAGTAAGTAAACATGGTCTTTCCCAGTTCTTCCTCTTCAAATAGGGAGTGCCTCTGACTTCCCAGCCTTTCCCGTTCTCTGACTCTAACACCACTGTGTGTCCAGCACTTCAGCCCTGTCTTGACACCAGCTATCCAGAGTGAATGCCAAACTCCTATCAAAGGGCAAAATTGCAACAGTTCAGTTTGGAGATCTCAGTTGGTTTTATATTTGATGTGTTTACTAACACAGAATAAGTGCTCTTGTTGGCTCAGTGGAAGAGGCTGGTTTTATAGACAGAGAAGCCGTGAAAAGGGCAGGAGCAAAGAGCAAAAAGTGATCGGTCATTTCAGAGTGACTTTCCTTGTAAGGCAGGACAGAGAGATGAACAATAGAAAAATAACTCAATGGTTAACTTCAGGTTAAACTTTGTAAGGATGAATGGATGTAAGAATTAAAACTGAAGTTCGTCATTGTCACGCTGATTGAAAATTTTGGTCATTGTATGATTTCTGGGAAGGTCAGGGAATAACTTAATTTTGTTTTGGTAACATGGAACTTTAGCATGAGTGACCCCATTTTGACTTTTAGCTGGCTCTGTTGGTGCCCAGAGCATAGGCTTAGTCCCAAACAGTGGCTTCCTATAATTTTTTTTTTTTTTTGGTACCAGGGATTGAACTCGGGACCTTTTGCTTGCGAGGTAGGCGGCATAACCACAGAGCCAAATCCCCGGCCCACCTCCTGTAATTTTTTAACACTCTGCAAGTATAAGGGTTCAGTCCTCCAGACCACCCTCTCATCAGACTGTTTGCAAGACTACCAGGCCACTTCTGCCTCACCTGGCTATGAATTTGAGGGTTCTCATGACCCCTCCCCCGACAGCTTGATAAATTCCTAAACAACTTGCGTAATTCAGGAAAATGCTGTGCACACTGCTATAGTTTATTTATTCATCCATTTATTAGCATTTTAGCATAACTTACAAATAAGTGTAAGTTATGAAGTTTATTTCATCATAACTGTTTGACTCATTCCAGTTTTAAAGCCATTGCAAATTAACATGGTGTCATAAAGAATCTGCTTGTCAAAAACAGGCTTTTGAAAGGAAAGTTTATTCCAGTGAACAGAGACTAAAATCAGGAAATTCTAGCAGCTAGCTGGGAGAAGCTGAGTTTATCATATCTGTGTGTGGATGGGGTGACATTGGAAGAGAGAGATAGTGGCAGCTAGCTGGGAGAGATTTCACTACATTTTGAGTCCATTTGTCATATTTACTGAGAAGCTGCTGTTGTTTGCTAAAAGCAGCCTGTTAGCTTTGTCCCATTTGCTTGTGAAGGACTTTTAAGTCAGGACTGACACATGGTATTGGCAGAGAATAGAAGGAAGTACCTGGATATTCAGGATATAATTTATAATGCAAGATAAATAATATAAAAAGTGAATATATTAAATTTAAAGTCAGAGGGAAGGTAGTTGTCATGACATTCAGGTAATTGTGAGATTGACGACTACAGAAGATTTTAGTAGTAGCCACTCATAGGCAATAATATCTCTACCACGAAACTATTGCAACATGAAGTCTAAGAATTTTAATAAATACACACTGAAAACACACACCTACAAAGCCCCACATTTATACAGTCTCACACAAATAACTGCTCATGTAGTTGAGATATCCCATTTGTTTTGGGGCTAGCAAGTTTCCTCTGCCATCCCCCCAAAGTCAATAAAAACTGCTTTATTTTGGAGGCAGGATCTCACCATGTAGTTCAGGTTGGCCTTGAACTCACTATGTAGCCCAGGCTAGTCTCGAACTCGTGAGAATCCTTCTGCCTCAACCTCCCGAGTCCTGGCATTACAGGCATGCATCACCATGTCCAGGGTTTTCACTGCTATGCTTTGTTACAAAGGATGCAAATGAATAGCTGGATGAGTAGGTACAGGGGTGAGTCTGAAAAAGTCCCCAAGCAGAGACTCCCCTATCCCCATGGAGTTAGGTTACACCACCTTCCTGGCATGGAGATGTGCTCACCACTGTAGAAACTCTGACAACTCTGATAGAGGATTTTGTGGAGATTTTGTTAGTAGGCGAGCCAGATTAAAACATTGGCTGTCATTGGTGATTAAATTCAATCCTTAGCCTCTCTTCCCTCCTCAGGGTGGGTGGGGTAAAGGGCCTGGAAGCTTCAACCCTCTAAGGCTCTGTCATTTTGGCAACCAGTCTCTTCCCCCTCTTTTTTTTTTTCTTTCCCACGGAGCTACATCCCCAGCAACACAAGGTCTCACTGAGTTGCCCAGTCTGGGATAGAATTTGTGATCCTCCTACCTCAGCCTCACAAAGTGCTGAGATTATAGGGATGTGCCATCAAGCTGGGCAACCCGCATTGTGTAAGGCCAGCCCTTCCTTCTTTCACTATGTAGCCCAGACTCACAGAGATTCTTCTGACTCAGCCTTATTCATAAGTGCTAGGATTACAGGTGTGTGCCAGCAAGGGACATCTTCTAAATAACAGAAAACACTCTGGTTGTGGTAGAGCATGCCTATAATCCCAGCAGTTTGGGGGCTGAGGCACAAGGATCACAAGTTAGGGCAATTTAGTGACTAAGCAAGACCCTGTCTCAATTAAAAATTTAAAAAGAACTGGGGATATAGTTCAGTATGAAGGCCCTGGGTTCAATCCCCAGTACCATAAAACAGCAACAAAAATGCACTGCTGTCACTAAGGAAATTCCAAAGGTTAGGATCTGTATGCCAGGAACTGGGGCCAAGACCAAATACATATATTTTTTATTATAGTAGTTACTCCTTATTCAACCAAAATTTCCTTAGCATTTGCAGTATATAGAAGCTGTGGTAGTCATGAGGAACTTAATCAGTTTAGCAAGTATTTATTGTGCATCCATTATGTCAGCCAAACAAAATTCCTTGCCCACATGGAGCTTATATAACAGACAATTAAAAAACAGCACATAGAATCAGTGAGAAGCACTTGGGGAAGGCACGTTACTGGGTTTCGGGTGCTAGAGTCTCCTTCTGGAGATGGTTTGTGGATTCTTTCTTTCTGACCTGAGCCAAGTCAAGCACAAATGGTAGCAAAGTTTTATTAAAGGTAGGAAAAGAAACAGGCTCTGTAGAGTGTTTTGGGTCAAGTAAGAGCAGGAAAGGAAGTGCACCTACAGCGTGAGGGTGGGCCACCATGACCATGCAAGAGAGAGCACAGTGGGAAAAACAGTGTGGACGGTCCTTTTTGTATCACCCACTTCTCAGGCTGACGTCAGGTCCAGGCCGTCCTATGGAAAACCTGCTCCAGTTCTCATGAGAAGTCCACATGCAGGGCTTTGGGACCTGTTCTACTGTCCGGGATTTTGTAATCAACAGGTCACACCTACTTCCCCAGCCACTTTTGCCTCACCCTAATCTCCTGTCTGGGGCAGACTTTGTTTTTGTTCCTTGGTTTGTTGCCCACACATGGAATAAATGAGTAAGTGGCAGTTACATGTGTTGGGGCGGCAGAGGTCAGTAGTGGGTGAGGGTCTGCGTGACAGCCGTGGGGAGAGTGTGGAGGGCAGCTGCTGTGGTGGGGCTTGGGGAGATCTCTGAGTGAGGCCACACGTGCTGCTGTGTCCAGTGGGGAGTGAGGATGGCTGGATGCCCCAGGGGAACTCGGGCACCGTTTCTCACATCGCCATGCTGCAGGTACCACTGTGGGATTTCATGGCTGTGGGCTCATCTGCTGTTGTGGGATGAAGCCCTTTGACGCCACCTTCTCCTCCACCAGTGTAGGCTTCCTGCTGGGGTCAGATGGTGCTCGTGTTGCTTACCTCTCTCCTACTATCGTGGATGATTTCTACAGCTTGTCTTTATGGTACTGACACTGTTTTTAGTTTCTCCTTTGCAACTAAAAAGCACTGTCTGGGAAGGCCCGTGGAAGCAGTGCCCTTGTCCTGCTCCACAGCAGTTTCTCCTGATTTAGCCTCTATTGGGGATTGTCTCCGGATCCACTCTTTATAGTTATAGCAGCAAAAATGACTTGCCAGCCACTATGGCCCATCGTGTTCTCCTGCAGGCAGAACACCTCCCTTCTTCCCCTTTTATATACTTACTATTTGTTTAGACCCATGAATTCCTGTTTCTTCCAAATGGTTTATTATCATTGCTGTGCTCAAATTATTTTGATGCTCATGTTGTCCCAGCTGTGGTCCATGGGAACCCTCTCAAAGCAGGCTTCTGTATCCTTGTGATGTGTTCCTGCTGCTTTTTTTTTTGGAGACAGGGTCTTGCTAGGCAGTTCAGGCTGTGCTTGAACTTGCTATGTAGCCTAGGCTGACCTCAAACTCCCAGTGAGTCTCCTGCCTCAGCCTCCTGAGTGCTGCAATTACAAGCATTCAGCACCACGCCCAGCCCCTGTTACTTGTTGAACATTTGTTTACATCTGACCAGATGGGTTTTTCCCGGCTCATTGCATGCTTACCCTTCCCCAGACATTTGTTTCTCCAAGGGGCTCTGATTCCTCTCAGTGGAAATGTGGCACTGGGGTTCTCACAGCCATTGAGATGTCTTTGCTTTTTGGCTCCTTTAGTGGACAGAGCTGGGAAATACATGCGAATGTGCGCCCGCGCGCGTGCACACACACACACATATTAAGGCAGTTTCCAGTCTTTTTTCCTTTCCTTTTTCAGTGGTGCTAGGACCTCATGGATGCCAGCATACTTTTCCACTTAGCTACATCCCCAGCCCTTTGAATATTTTAAATTACAAATAGGCCTTGATCCTTAGTTTCTAAGTCCTTCAACTTTTGGTCCTCCTGGAGTACTGGGATTATAGGCATGTGCTACCACACCTTTGAGTTTTTCCCCCATTCTGCTAAGATTTTGAGTCCTTGCTCAGTTTCATATTTTCTTTATAAGCCAGGCATGGTGGTGCACACCTGTCATCCCAGCACTTGGGAGGCTGAAGCAGGAGTATTGCCTCAAATTCTAGGCCAGCCTGGGCTACATAGTATGACCCTGTTTCAAAAAAAATTTTTTTCTATATAAAATTAGGGAGCTCTTTTGCTGAACTCTGTGTTGGGAATATTTCCCCCAGTTTGCCATGTCTTTGGCTTTACTTACAGTGCTTTTTTTCCAGAGTTTTATTTTTTATGGAGTCAAATTTAATCAATGTTTCATTTTTATTGCTCCTGGATTTTGAGTTGCATTTAGAATGCTGTTCTTTACAGTTAGGTTGAAGAGGATTTACCCAGTTTTTCCTTACATTTGTGTGCTTTAGCTTTTATATGTAGATTTCTGATTTATTTGGAATTTGTTCACACTTGTCTCTTATTTTTTTCCAAATGACTGCCTGGTCAGTTTAATTTACAGGTTTGCTGGTGTAGATTTCTAGGGCAGAAATCATGTAAGGATTTTAAGTGTAAGGGCCTCATTATCTTCTGCCTTCCAGTTGGAAAGGTATTCTCTTGTCCCTGTGGAGACATTCTGAACTGTTCTGAGTATGGAACCTTGCAAACCTTTCTTACCGCCCTTTCAGGATTACACATAGTCCTTTAGCTTCATGGTGGCTGCCTCTCCGTGAGGTGCTTGGCCCTTTCAGCTATGATTAAAGCAAAATGATAGCAGATAAGTTGTTTTTTTAAATTTAATTTTATTTCTGTTATATAATTCAGAGGATCATTTTGAGGGTTCAGAAATTCAAAAAGAAGAAATATAAAGAGATTACTGGATAGAAATATGAGTAATTTTGATAAACTTTTTTTTTTGTTTAATAGTTGTGGTTTAGTTGTGATTGTCTACAAGTGCTAAGGTGTTGAATTTTGGCAGATATTGGACAATCGATAGTATTTATTCTGTGACTGCTGGATTACATCTCAAGACTGGTTATGTTCTGTAATATGTTAGTAATTTATTAATGTTTCTGCTATCTTAATTTATAGGTGGAAGCCTTTTTGGCCTTCTGAGCAAGAATAATCGTTTTGGTAGAAATCCAGTTGTGCTGTTGGGCATTCTGGTTCACTTTGTAGCTTTTTATTTAATATTTCTCAACATGCCTGGAGACGCCCCCATTGCCCCTGTGGAAGGAACTGACAGCGGCGCTTACATCAGGCCCAGGTACAGTCACGGCTGCTTTTCCAGTGATTTGAGGGCAGAGGGGAGGTGCTAGATGGTGAGGTGTGGACTGAAGCACCTAATCCTCTCAGAGTCCGTCATCGTTACGAGGCCACCTATATGGTGTTAATGGAGCCTGAAGAGTTTAAGTAGGATCTGTAAGGAATCCCAAGTTCTTTTTTTTTTTTTTTTTTTTTTTGGTACCAGGGATCGAACTCGGGTCCTTGCACTTGCACAGCAGGCGTCGAAACCACTGAGCTAAATCCCCGGCCCTCCCAAGTTCTTTTTTTGCAAGAGTTGCTTTTAACCTCTTTCCCTTCTAAATCATCTTCTTGATCTAGGAAGGATTACAGAAGTGTCCAACTCGAATTTTAGATCCCTGCTTTTAAACAGGGAAATATCCCCAAATGAGGGTCTGGAGAAAGAAGGTTTTCAGGACGTTGGTCGTTCACGTCTTCAGTTACTGAGATGCAGATGTTTATATCTAGATCTGTGAATCTGAGAGCAGGCTGGCCCAGAAAGCAGTGCTGGTTCCCCAAATAGATGCTAGCTAGGCCAGAGTTTGCTAATAATGAAAATACATGCTTCGAGCTTAACTTCTTACTGTGTGAATTGTAGTACAGGGACTGGGAGTGCAGCTCTGTGGTACAGCATTTATCTAGCACACAAGGACCTGGCTTCCAGGCCAGCACTGGAAAAAAAACAAACTTATAAATTTTGCTATTCCTTTTTTACTTATTTTTCAGTACTGGGGATTGAACCCAGGGCCTCAGCACTGAGCTACATCCCCAGCCCTTTTCATTTAAAAAAATTTTGCGGGGGGAGAAAGGGTCTTGCTATGTAGCCCAGACTGGCCTTGAACTCATGGCAGTCCTCCTGCCTCAGCCTCCTGAATACTAGGATTCTAGGTGTGTGCCACCACACTCAGCCAGCTCTTTTAATAATTTTATTTATTATTTATTTTGGGGGGGTACCGGGGATAGAACTTGGATCCTTGTGCTTGCGGGGCAGGAGGCGGAACCACTGAGCTAAATCCCCAGCCCTTAATTTTTTATTTTGAAACAGAGTCTTGGTAAGTTGCCCAGGCTGGACTGGAATTTGGAATCCTCCTGTCTCAGCCTCCTAGAATGCTGGGATTACAGACATGCATCACTATGCCTGGCTCTATTTATTCTTTTTTGATGTGTTTAAAATTTGAAGATAAAATGTTTTTGTGGGTGGGTTTTTATATTTTTAGTGGATGTTGGAAATATTAGTACTTCTTACACTAAATTAATTTTTATTTTCCTCAGCAAAGAAGTTGCCATCTTCTGCAGCTTTCTGTTGGGGCTAGGAGACAGCTGCTTTAATACCCAGCTGCTCAGCATCCTGGGCTTTCTCCATTCTGAAGACAGTGCGCCAGCCTTCGCCATCTTCAAGTTTGTCCAGGTAACCTCTTCAGCTTGTGTTGAGAGTTCTTTTCCTTCATGCTTTGCGCTGTTTTCCCTGGTCACTAGTATTGTGGTCTTATTTTGAGAGTTGACACCCAGGCACGATGGCACACACCTGTGATCCCAGCACTCTGGGAGGCTGAGGCAGGAAGATCTCAGGTTCAAGCCCAGCCTGGGCAACTCAGCAACTTAGACCCTGTCTCAAAATAAAAAATAAAAAAGGAAAATAAATAAATAAAATAAAATAAAATAAAATAAAATAAAAGGACTGGGCCGCAACTCAGTGTGAACACCCTGGGTTCAATTCTTAGTACCAAAAGAGAGAGGGGAGAGAGATTGAGATTTGGAGGCCTCCTTTAAAAGGGTTTGTGAAGCCAGGCACAGTGGCACGTATCTATAACCCCAGCACTTGGGAGGCTGAGGCAGGAGGCTTGCTATGAATTCAAGGCCAGCCTGAACTACGTAGCAAGACCCTGTCTCTAAATACCAAATAAGAAAAAAAACAACCCATAAGAAATAAAAAGGTGTGCGAGAGACTCGGGAAGCGGTGAGCAGTGAGAGCGCCCTGCCCACTTGGATGAGGCTCATGTTCTGGTCTCCTGCTCAGCCTGGAGACTTCCTTAGAGACCGCAGTCCCCCCACTCACCACGTGGACAAGTGTGTCTCCTGCTCTGGGACTCCTTTTTCAAGAGAGCTGCTGCACGTAGGGGAGCCCTCCGCTCCTGTGCACATTCCCACTGTCCCAGGGAAGCTCAGGGCGTGTTGGGGAGTTAGTGCCTGGGACGGTTGCATCTGAGTTCCAGTGCTGCCAGCATGATGTCCAGTGCTCCGAGGTGGAGTGGCCACCGTGCCCGCCTGGCCCTGTGTGCATCTGTACTGTCTCCTCTGTCCCCAGTCTATCTGCGCAGCCGTGGCGTTTTTCTACAGCAACTACCTTCTCCTTCACTGGCAACTCCTGGTCATGGTGATATTTGGATTTTTTGGAACTATTTCATTCTTCGCTGTGGAATGGGACGCTGCTGCCATCGTGGCCCGGGGCTCTGACTACCGGAGCATTTGACTCGGGGCTGTGGCTTCCAGAGCAGCCACTGGCCGAAGTGCGCTGGCCGAAGTGCGTGATGGAGGAAGCTGCCTCGCATCTCCTCAGCCCATTGGCAGAGGTCGGGCGTGGGAAATCAAAGAACTGAGACTGATAAGTGAGCCAGAGTGGTTATTAAAGTTTACAGATACTTAAAACAAGTGGGATAAGGGAAATCTATTGTGTCAATCATAATTGTTCAGAGATGTTTTTCAGTTGTCTGTCTCAAGTTCCCTAGAATCATGTTAGCGAATGTAAACCCCCACCCCCAAGATCCAGCCTTGATTCCAAATCCAGGTCATGTGATGCAGAGAGACTTGCTGGGCATGGATTATGTTTTACTGCGTAGTAATGAGAAGCATATGCTGCTCCACATGTTATCTGGGAATGACATTCAAATAAACCGGGAGATGCTGAAATGCAGTCAGAACTTTGGAAAGATTTCTTCCTCTTTAAATGTTTATCTTGAATGAATTTTCTTTTTTCTTTCTTTTTTTTTTTTCGGTACTGGGGATCAAACTCAGGACCTTCTGCTTTCGAGGCAGATTGTGGAACCACTGAGCTAAATCCCCGGCCCTCAGTGAGTTTTCTTACATAGTAGTTCCTAGCAACAAATGGCCAATTAGTTGTATTATAAAATGAGGTAAAATTGTCTTGGATCTTAAAAGATGACTGTGGCATCCATAAATGAACAAAAAGCACATTTAGAAAAAGAAACACACTCCCTGGGAGAGATTTTCCTGAAAGATACAGTGGGAAAAAAAAAATCCCAGGCCTGTAGTGAGATCTGAGCTTTGAGGTAGAGCGTCATCATTTATACATCTTCTTAAAACATGCTACTTGATGGTCCTAGGCCTGGGAAGGGAATGTCACTATTTGGGAAATGTTCACATGCAAATGTTGAGGTTGGCTTGGGGGTATATACCTGTAATCTCAGCACTCAGGAGGCTGAGGCAGGAGGATCACCATGAGTTTGAGGCCAGCCTGGGCTCCATAGTGAGCTCAAGGAAAGTCTGAACTGCATAGTAAGACCCTGACTCAAAAAACAAAACCAACCCGAGTTCCATCCCTGGTACCAACAAAACAAAACAAAACAAAACCAAAAAAAGACTTGCAAACCTTTAAACCTGGGCTTGGGCTATTCGTACTGAGGGTTCCTTTCCTCTGGGAGTTTTTGTTGGTTGGTTGGCTGGCTTGTTTTTGTTAATTTAGAATAAATCCCTTGGGAGTTTTTAAGTGCTGAAGTTACAGATGAGTTCTAATTGATAGTTGAAATAATTTTGAGTCCTCACACCAGATAGGGTAGCTCATAAACACAGAAAAACCTGGAAGATAATAAGTGTTGGATAATAAGAATGTGGAGAACCTGGAGCCCTTGCACACTGTTGTTGGTAGAAATGTAAAATGGTACAGCTGCTATGGAAAACAGTATGGGAGTTTCTCATGAAGACTAAAAAAAATCACCATATGATTCAACAGTTCCTTTTCTGGGTACATACGCAAAAGAACTGCAGGCAGTGACTTGAGATGTCTGTACACTTATGTTCAGAGCAGCATTATTCACAATAGCCAAAAAGTGGAAACAACTTAAGTTGTTCATCAGTGGTTGAATGGATACACAAAATTCAGTTTATCCATGTGATATAGTATTGTTCAGCCTTCAAAAGTCATTGTCTCAAAAAACTAAAACTAGGCTTACCATATCGAGCAGTTCCACTTCTGGGTATGTTCCCAAAAGAACTGAAAGCAGCTACTCGAATAGATATTTACATATCCACGTTCATAGCCAGGTTATTCAGAGTAGCCAGCCAGGTGTCCATGGAGGGAGGATTGAATAAACAAATGGGATATACCACACATGAAATATTGTTCCTCCTCTAAAAGGAAGGAAATTCTGGCACATGCTACAACATGGGAAGACCTTCAGGATATTAGGTGAAATGGTCACAAAAAGGTAAATACCGAATGACTCCAATTATATGGGGGATCTTGTAGTCAGATTTATAGAGATAGGAAGTAGAATGGTGGGCTGGGCCAGATGGAGAAATAAGGATTTGGTGTTTAATGAGGATACAGTTTCAGTATTCTACTTTTTTGGGGGATGGGGGGGCAGTTACTGGGAATCGAACTCAGGACTTTGTGCTTTCCAGGGAGGTGTGGCACCACTGAGCTACATCCCCAGCCCCGTTTCAGTATTCCAAGTTATGAAGATGGATGTTGGTGAAGCTTGCACAAGAAGGTGAATATTAATGCCCTGAGCTGTACACATCATGATGGTGAAAATGGTAAATTTTATGAGGATTTTTTTCACAATTAAAAACAATACTTTGGGGAGCTACATGAGTGCTTCTGTCTTGGCATCCAAGGACCACCCCTAGGTTTGGAGACTCACGAGGAGAATTGTCAGGACTCAGCATGTGGTGGTACTCCCTGTTGTCCGTTGGGATCCAGAGGTCACCTGAAAACCCACTGTATTGAAAGCTAGTTGCTACTGATGGGATTTGAGGAGCTGATTGGCTAATGAGGGCTCCTGATTTCATCCATCGGTGAGTTCATAACTCAGTGAGCTTACTGGGAGGGGGAGCCATGCCTTTGGGGTTTATCTTGGCCCTGGCCTCTTCCTCTCTGGCTCTTTGCCTCTCACTCTGCTTCTTGGCTGCCAAGCCCTCTGGCCATGATGTTCTGGTTTGCAGCCAGCTGACCATGGACTGAAACCTCTGAAACTGTGAGCCAACATAAACCCTTCCTCTTTTAAATTGGGCATTTTGTCCCAGTGATGGATGGCTGACCAACAACCCATGGCTAAGATCTATGACAGTGATATGGCAGGCACCCACAGCTGGCTTGGAAGGAGCAAGACCTGAACAGAGTCTGGAGGTCCATGTGTAGGTTTCCTGTGCTTGCTCCGTCCAGGCTCACATGCAGCACTTTTACAGCCATGAAAATGCAGCCACCTGTGTGCCATGTCCCTGCTCAGGAAGGTACAGCACCAAAGGGTTTCTCTGGGGTCTGATTCCAGAGGCGCAGCCTCTGCCTGGCCCCTGTCAAAATCCAGGACTCCCAGAACCACATCATTTGCACTGAGCAATTTCTTTGTTGTTTTGTTTTCGTTCTTTTCTTTTCTTTTTTTTTTTGGTATCGGGGATTGAACTCGGGACCTTGATGCTTTCAAGGCAGGCAGTGGAACCACTGAGCTAAATCCCTAGCCCTGTTTTTGTTTATTTGAGACAGGGTCTCACTGTGTAGTCTAGGCTGATCTGAAACTCACTGCCATCCACCGTTCTCAGCTTCCTGTGTGTTGGAATTACAGGCATGGGCCACTATGCCAGTCCTGAGCTACTCTTAGTGGCTGTTGCCTGGAAACTTGCCCAGCCCAGCTGCCAGCCAGGGGCCAACCTTGTAGCAGAACTGTTTCAGGCCTGTTGTGCTCCCCGACTGTGCAGTGGCAAGCAGAGTTGAGTCTTTGCCTTACAGATGTGGTTGGATTGTGGTTTCTTTGATGCCATGTAGGAAATCCTAAAGAGGGAAAAACCTTGAACTGAAGTAGCCCAGGCCTCATTTTTGCCGGACATTTCCTTTAGGGCTGAAGTCCTTAGGGTTGCTCCATCTTGCTCTTGAGAGCTGTAAATTGACTTTTAATAGATGAGATGAGAGTCCCCAGTTCCCCCCATTCTAAGCCTTCCCAAGAGGGCTGTGTCAGGGGGTCATAGAATTGTTCTCAAGGATTGTACCATCTCTGAACCCCTGTCCAAGTCCATGAAACAAGTGTCAAAGACAAGGATAACAAGGATTTGAGTGATTTCCACAGAGTATATGTGTCCTTTATTTTCTCAGAGAGATTTATTATGGAACTAGGGTAGAAAAAAACACTTTTGCAGTAAGACTCACCTGTCCAGTTCTGTTATTTTTGGTCATCCAAGATAATGAAAGCTTTGAGCAAATTGGATCAAGTTCCATTCCGATTGTGGGAGGAACTGTCATTCTGTGGGCCTTGGCTGTTTGATCCACAGGAACTGATTGCGGGTGTGAGTTTTGGAAGTTGTAATGAGTTAAGGTCTCATTGAAATGTGACATAATTAGTGTGGTTGGTTGGTTTGGGTTCTTTTGGTTTGGTTCCCAGCATGTAAAATAGACAACTCATTTCTTAAAGAAATATGGATGTTCTATAGGACTTTCTTTCTGTTGAACCATAGCAGATTTTTCTTCTTTGTTATTTTGGTTCTTCCTTTTTGCAGGCCTGGGCATTGAACTCGGGGTCTTGTGCCCTCTGGGCAGGTGCTTGCCTCTGAGCTCCACCGCAGCCCAACACTAGTAAGTTTAGGGCGGGGATTTAGCTCAGTGGTTCCGCCACCTGCCTCGCAAGCGCAAGGTCCCAAATTTGATCCCTGGTACCAAAAGAATAATAATAATAACACTAGTAAGTTTATTGTGTTCTTCTGGTGGTAGGCCAAGGAACGGGTGTTTCAACTCTGCAGGAGTATGAATGTGCTATGAGCAGCTCTCTGGTACAGCTGGTGCTAGCTGGTGGTTGTCTGAGCTGCTGTTAAATCTGGAAGGTCTGATGTTCTTGTCACAAGTACTTCTGCCTCATTCTGTGTGAACAGAGCCAGATAATTTAAAGAAAGAGCTGATTTCAGATTTAGAGACGTCTCGTCCAGGGGAGGCTCATTTGCGCCTTTCAATTCATAGGTCTTTTCTTTCCTCCTTAAAATGTTGTCAGATATCCCCACTTCTTCAGTCTTCTTTGTGTACATTCTAAGCCCATTTGACTTTTTCTCTTTTTATTGGTTTAGTTCTCTCAATTTTACATTTTGAAAGGGATTTTCTGGGATAATTGTCACATGAACAGAAAGCCAAGTCTTGATGACTCATTGTAGACACTGTGGGAGAGTAGATTGAAGGAAAAACAGATGGTTTTCTCTTTACTACTTCTTCTTTTTTAAATGTTTGCAATTGGATGAACTAATTCAAATGAGAGCTGAGCCCAGCAAAGTCTCCAGTTGCTTAGTAGTCTGCTGAACCCCCTAGTGCTGTGGGAGGAGGCATTGAGTTCTGGCTCTGCTCCAGCAGGCAGCGGAACCCACAGCTTGCTGTGCGCCCGATGCTTCAGGAAGTGGCTTGTTTTGCAGCCAGAGCTTGCTGTAGACCCAAAGTTATTATTTCCTTGGCACCAGAGGACCCTTTGATTTTGGAAACATTTTGGCCCATCCCATTATTTTGTAGGATAGTATACATTTGCATTTAGTATACAGTTTGGTTTCTTTCCTGAGCAATCAGCCCTTTCCTTTCCTTCTTGGATCACGTAATCACTAAAACTAGAGAAAAGGGAATATCCCAAAGTAGGGCATGGTTATTCATATCTATTTATGTTAAATATTTAAATATGAAAGCTGAGCTGGAGCACATTCCCATAGTGCCACCCTGCCCTCC